CAGAATATAGGTGATAACTACCCCTTGAAATAATGTTAAAACAAACTTTTGATGCAACCAAGGTGTCTAAAGACAAATAAATCCGTGCTACCAGGACAAAAAACCCTGGAGTTCACACAAACAGGGAGAGAAATATGTTTGTTTTGAATTGTGTCTGAATGCATTTTCTTAAAACTGAAAATAACAGGTTGAGGCTTGTTGGTACATTGCTCTCATTACCATTTGGAGGATTCTTTGGTTTGCAGCGGCTGCAGTGCACAGGGCGTCTAAAGCTAAGACTCATGGTGAGAAAGGAGTGGGCGGACTCTTACTTGACCGACTGCCAGGTTTCCTGCTCAAAACCACGGTGGATGGACTGGGCGATGGACGACTCCATCAGGTCGATGTAGCGCACCACCAGGGGGACGAACAGGTCCTGCAGGTGTTTGTGGAACGTCCCGTTACACAGGTGGGCTGTGTGTGTGTGGGGGGGGGAGGGGGCAAGAGATCATGTAAGAATATATATTCACTTTTCAGATCATTTTCATAAAAATTCAAACAGACATACAAGATGACTTTCCCAATCCTGTCTGGGGGGGGGGGCGACTCTATGTCAAATTGATTGATTAACTCCCTGGCACCAGCGACCAATCAAGAGCTGGAGTCTGGAAACTTCTCTAATTTTCAAATCTATGCAGAAACTCATGGCATTTTTTGAACTTCCAGTAAGAGAGAGACACTTCACCCAACACCTTTCAGTTTCACTAATGTTTGTTCTATTCATTTGTAACAGCAAAGAATGATGCTCTACTCTGCTCTACTCAAACGTATATTGCACAGATTATGTTTTCTTTTATTGACAGAAAGTTCATGGGCGGCTGCGGCTCAGCGGGTTATTTAGATGAAGATACTTCAATCCTCCAAAAGTCATCAGCCTGTTAGTGTTTGAATGTGATGAAAACTGTTCAGCACTTTAGATGAAAAACTTATACAGCAACTGTTTAATGACAATGAACTTTTTAATTTTTTTTCTACAGCTGAGGAAAGATTAAACCCATTAAAAATGATGAGTCATTTATTGACTAGTCTATTAATCGTTGCAGCTCTACAGGATGTATCTGAGGAGACCAGTGGCATTGATCTTCTCAGCAAGACAATGAATAAGTGTATATTCCTAAATGTACCCACCTACTTCTACTAACTTCACAAAAGTCTGTCTGTGCAACGCATTCATCTTATCGGCATGTGTATTGTTAATGGCCCAGGAAAGCACAGTGTCAAATTTGGTGCGATTTGGGGACAAGATACATTATAAACTTTGAAAAGACAGACAATCAGCACTCGGCCACATTCAGTGGGGGCTGGTCAGTGTGCCTTTAGACTATGGACCAAATTGAATATGTCTTCTTCTTCGTGCTCGGATAAAATACAGCTGTCAAAATCCCCCCAAGATCCTTTTGATTATTTGGTCATTTCTATTTCACCACATCGATCTGATTTGTTTTGTTGCTGCAATGCTATATGATATCAAGCGGAAATATCAGCACCAAAGACTGTTAAAAAGCTCTGTACACAACACCCAGCACACAAACAGTAAAAAAAGTCAGTATATTGTGGAACTGTTTGAGGAGGACTCACTCATGACAAGGAATAATTCTGTGTTAATGCTCCAGAGCATCAACACAGGACAAGAGGACAGCTCATTCCAAACAGACAGGTTTAGAACGGGCAGTGTAATTATAAAGACATAAAGATATTTAACCAAACCTGATGCTTATCAGTCTCACAAAGGTAGAACATGTATTGCAATAGTGAACTGCTTCGCCCACCCACACCTCTCAGGTGTGATTAAGGCTGTCAAAGAGTCAGATGAGTCCTCAGAGACAGTAACAGTCCACAGTGAGGAGAGACAAATAAACAGTGTGTTGGGTGAGAAGCGAGCAGGACCGTCTCTCAGGACTTCATTAGTTTTAATTCCTCTCGCTCGGCTCCATCATGATTAACACTAGCCTTTTTTGCCCTCCGGAGAGCAAAACCCATCTCCCTCGCAACCACTCGCCTTCACACGCTGACAATCAAGTGAGCATTTAAATAATCCACAGAACAACTGAGAGAAAATACACTTGTTGGAGAAAATCCTCAAAGAGTTTGGGAAGATCAGTTTTTTCTGAACCGTTTAAATGGATAAAAAATTGCTTTGAACAAATAATAAATTCAAAGGTGTTCCATATTTTATCCTCTTGAGGTTCAGAGAAGGCAACTTGTAAATCATCTTCATTATCCTCCAAACTTGTTTTTTTATTTCTTTTAATTTTGTCACCCAAGTATCAGATTGGATTTAAATCATTTCTTCTCACTTTAGATGTAATTAACAAGGAGGGAAGACCTCATTTGTGTAAATAGTCAAAACTATGATTTAGCTCGTTCTGTGTTTCAGCTCCGTCTAATGCCTGATTATACTCCAATTCAAGTCTGCTAATGTTGTGACACTTGGAATAATTACGGCATTAACAGAGGATGGTAATTAGAAAAAATATATAAAAGATATGAGCCACATATTTGTGGCTTTTTCACATAATGAAACGCTGAGTTTTTGTTTCCAACAGTGCCCTTGGGCTGTCTTTCTGTCTGCCTGTCTGTTACTGTATCCAAGGTACTTTGGCATCAGCCATGTTAAATAGCGCCTCGCATCTCGCCAAATCTCTGCTGGCGCTGAGACAAAGCCTCGGCGCCGACAGAGGGCTCGAAAGAGACAGGAGGCAGCGAGCTGAGATTTTTCTCCAGCAGTCAAATGAAATCTTAAGAGACAGAGGCAGTTTGTCAGGGAAGAAAATGCTCCAGCAATTTGAAATACAGCAGTGCAATGTTGGTGTTTGTCGTACTTTAAAGTTTCCACTGTCATTTTTAATTTTTTTTTCAGAGTTGGGACCTTGAGACATAGAACAGCACATGGCAAATATAAAACGTCTTTCTTTTGCGACTGTGTAGATGTGCTCCATGAAAGAAATCAAACAATAGATTCACTCATTCAAAAACCTGGTGAAAAAAATGATTGGGATGAAATATAAAAGCATTAATAACGATGGTGAGTCCGGAGCAGTCCAGCAATTTATTTCTCAGATAGGTTTGGTTTTGTCATTTTGAAAAGTAAATCTGCAGAAAGGAAATACTGTTTCTTCAGGAGCAGAAAACTGAATTGCAAAAATGATAGACTTAAAAAAAGTTTGTGTGAAACTGATGAAACTTCAGCTCCATAATGACAAAATGAACATTTGTACACAGGTGATCTTCGAATAATCAACTCCTAAATACATTTCTCCTGTCAACTGCATAAATTAGTAAGAGCAGAGTGGAGATGAAGTTATATGGGGGGAGGACGCTGTGATTGTGTTGACAGGTCAGCAGACACCCAGCTAAAGATAAACTGTGGGCAGCTGATTGTGTCCCTCCTCCTTGTTAATTACCTCTATGTCCTAGCATGCGAGGGGTCGTTAACCTCCTTGCTTAACAAGCCTCATTTTCTCTGGCATCACCAGTGTTAATTAGCACTCTTAGTGGCGTGACCATGTGCCGTGCCGTATGAGGCATTTCCTCCCAAAAAGTCTCCTTTTTTTGTTTTGAGGTATGAAAATGAGCAGAAGGGAGAGGATTTAAATGATTAAATGAGATGAGCAGGAGTTGAGTCCATAAACAGGGTGAGGACAAAGATTTTTAAATGTCATTGTTTTTGTAATTGGAAGATCATCGGGACTTTGAAACGCCTGAGTCTATTCTGAAGAAAGAAACACACAGACTTGAAGGAAGTTGTCTCTTTTGAGGAGGAACAAATGACTCAATATCATTGGTTACATCTGCATGAGGGATTTTGTAGTTTAACAAGAAAAAACAAGATCAGATCAACATTTTGGACCCAGGGGGTGGAAACTTGGTTTCTCCTTGCTGCTTAACTCTTAAAATGTTTTATTTTTTTCAAATTGTAGCAATATTATGACTCTTTGTCCTTGTCAAATTATGAATTTCTTCTCAATTACAATACTTTCCTCGAAATGGATGAATGCATGAATAATAAAATAGGGTCAGTGGCTGTCCAAGGTTAAAGAAGTGGGTTTGTTTTTAGCCCGTTGCAGGTCAGACTGTGGTTGTAGCCGGCAGACTACAATGTGTAAAACTGTTTGAGGGTGGAACCAACATATATTAAATAAGGTAAATTAAAGTACACTGTTTGTATACAGAGTAAACTTAGCTTACAAGCAGACATGGTGATAGTGCAAAGGCTGGTATATTGGTATATATGGCTGATTAGTTAGACTAGAAGTAATTCCATCTTCAGTTATCTGCAATAACTAACTTCTTTGTTCACAGTTTGCCTCCATGTACTATTGTGCTAGGGTCACATAAATCTCTACATCGAGGAAGGTGGAGAGCAGACCTTTAGTCAGACCGGACACAATACTGAGACAGTTGAACTAGTTTGATGAGCACTGCTGTCAAATTCATCTTGTCTGAACAGGGAGGGTTAGACTTACAGTCAGTTCGCAGGAAGTTGTTGAGGAGCTGAAATAGTGGGAAACTGTCCCAGGAGTCGACAGGCTGCACCTGAAGAGCACAGTCCATATCGGCTCTGTACAGAGACAGAAACGTTTCTGCGTGTTCAGCCATCAGCTCCGGCCACCACGAAAAAGCCTGAGAGAGAGATAGATGCAAGAAAAAAAATATCAGGGAACTAAAAGTGTTAGAAATTAACAGGGAGGTGTTTAAGTTTTGCTTCACTGAAACTATTTCTAATTCTGGTCATGTTTATTCACATGCAAACAAGTCAACAGCAGAGGATGTGAGATTATTACTGTAACCATGACAATAACAGTGCCGTAACATTTACAAGGTAGTGACTTTAACCCAAACCATCATCTTCCTTGAACATAGCCAAGTGGATTTTGTGTCTAAACCTAAACTGCAGAGTCGCCACATTATAGAGCAGGTTTATTTTTCAGTTTTGAGAGACACTGATAAACAAAACTTGTTGTTATCAGATCAGATTAGAAAACCAAAAAAACACATTTGATGTTTGATTCAAAATCTGATCCATCGCTAGTTCAACCTCTGAAGGCTGAAGTTTGGGTTTATTGCTCACCAATCTTGTGGTGTTGAAATAAGAAAAGACAATAAAGAGCATTACTGTCACTTCTCATGAAACATTTTCACCACCAAAGATAACTGACACAAGAGTTGTCACAGGTCTCTTCCTGTCCTCGCTCACCAGACGACCACTCACTTTTTGGTACCGTCTAAATTGAAAACCAGGTAGACAAGTGTATGAGCTGGCCAAGCTTGCAGGACTGACTAGCAACATTGAGAGGGGACTCCTTACAAGCTGCTGTGAGAAATCTTAGGCCACTTGGAAGTTGTTGAGGTTCAGCTACGAGTCCCATTTAGAACCCGTTCAGAACTGGTATTAACTTCTGTCTCAAGATATCTGATCACATGCTCGTCACATGTTACGTTCTTCTATTCACATCTGGCTTTAAAATGCATTCTAAATGTGTCTCCTGTGACCACTTTTATTAAATCTTATTAAATCTGCTTTTACCCAGTCTGAGTTTGCAGATGTGTCTGATGTCAATGTTTGTGTGTCTGCATGAGTGAGAGAAGAGACAGAAAGAGAGCGAGTGGAGCCAAGGACTGAGTGAATGTGCGCTGCTGTGCAGAAAGATTTGTATCTTTTAAGAAAAGTCTCATTGTGTCAGTGTGGATATTGTGGCAGTAACCACAAACAAAGCAACAAATGGACACTGAGAGGCTTGAAAATATATTTGAACAGAAGCAGATCAGAGATGTCAGCTCCTGCATATGTGGCCCAGGATGCTATTGCGTTCACATTATTAAAATAATGTGACCTCACGTGTCCCAGACCTCCACATGTGGTTTGAGTGATCAGATCTCAGGATGCATTGTGTTCAGATCTGTACCTGGCAGTGTATCTGATAACTCAGGACAGATGTTAATACCAGGTCTGAAGTGAGCTGGGTAGAATATTAGTGTGTCTCCTAAAAGTCCTATTACACGGGACAAATACTTGTGCAAACATGTATTTTGTACATGAAACATGGAAACGTCCAAGAGAGCTGAATCTCACTCACTTGCACTGTGTCTTACGTCTAATAAAAGATCTGACTCGGAACGTAATGTAGGCTTATTTCAAATACCTGCAACGAATTGGAAACAAAAAAGCCCAGAGGAGCTGCACATTCACTAATGCAGACATCTTCAGTCTTAAGAGCATCCAGGCTGTGCAGCCATCAATGGACAGAGGTCAGCCTGCTCAGGTGACCACTGGTATTGAAGAAGCTCTGAGAGAAAAGTGCAACCAGCCTTGACTCACCCACTGATGCACTGAGGTTGGTGTTTGTGTGCGGGGGAGGAAGACATAAGTTGTAAAGGGGAAAAGAGAAAATCGTACTCGTGGCCTTGCAGGACAACTCATCAGCAGTAAACCAGCCTGGTGAGTCGTCAGCTTTTACAACTCTCTTCGTAAGACATTTCACTAACAGCAGCTCATAAAGGCTGCTGTCCATCAACAGAGAGATAACCAGATAACAGAGAATGGAAGGAGAGACAAGTGAAAGAACAGATTTCAGAAGGAAAGGGGGGAGAAATTAATGGAAAAAGATGTGGAGAAGTAAAAACAGTTTGAAAGATTGCAGGAAGTATGAACAAAAATGATGAGAAAGAGAGAATGGAAGAAATTATAATAAATAGAATAAGGGCAATAATAATGGGAATGAGGCATGAAAGACAGGGAGAAGAGAAGAGAGAGAGGGAAATATCAGAAAATGAGGGAAGAGGGGGAAATATTATTAATTATTATTATTATATCAATCTGAGGAAAATGATCTCAAAAATACAAAGAAAAAAACAAGTCTGGAGAAAATAAAGGGGAAAGATGCAAACAGAGTGAAAGGAGGACAAATGACAGAAATCATTTATAAAAAACAAAACCTCCTAAACAACCAAAATGTTCCTTTCTTTTAAGAGGAAAGAAGAGTGTCAGCCCTTTAAAGGGCTAATGTACTTATTGTAGCACCAAGGACATCTGGTCCTCCTTATCCTCCCTTTAACAAACCACTCACAAATTGTGAACGTGTCATGGCAGAATATTTTCCACATTGTAGAGAGAGTGTGTCGTGAAGGTGAACGTTGTTGAGCAGAAATGATGGTAAGTCATTCTCACAACCAAAAAACGCTTTGAGGCGTTAATTCAGCCACCGGAGAACCAGAGAGGTGAGAAGGTTTGAGTCGTGTGTTGATGGGGTTCAGGTACAGGGAGAGTCCATTTCACAGGGGTGGACCTAGAGGTGTGGCCAGGGGTGGGACCAGCTAAAATCTCATTGATTTAACAGCACATATATTCTAATGAAATGTAATGGCAACCAAATTACTCTTTCTATCAGCATAATGATGCCGTGCTATTAATTAACATGACTGGAAAAATTGTTGATATTAAAATATGTAAGAAAATGTTCCCTGATGTCTTTTTCATTATTTCCCTCCCTGTGTGTCTGTGTGAAAATGAGGTTTGGTAAGGAGCGTCCATTGCTGTCTTGAGTCTATGAAACAAAAGCCTGGTCTGAAGCCAGTGGCTCAGTATTTCACAGCTCATTGTTTAGATATTAATATGCAGCTGAATAGGCAGGTGCACAGGTGTTTACTTGTGACACACACAGATGATCCACTTGTGCCTCAAGTTAGTTCCCTCTGCAGAGTTTTCCTCTTACCTGACTGATGCACACTTTTTAATTACAATCTGCAAAGGTGCACACTCACCAGGTTTTTAAAGGGAATGGGATATTACTGGTTTATTGCATAATATGCCTAAGACACACCCATGATTAATTGGGTTGGTTAGCACCACCTCACAGCAAAAAGGTTCCTGGTGCGAGTTCTGGTTTTGCTGTGGTCTTTGTTGGTGGCATTTGCACGTTCTCCCTGTGCCTGTGTGTGTTTTCTCTGGATACTCCAGCTTCCTCCCACAGGCCAAAGACATGTAGATTGCGGTCACGTTAATTGGTGACTTTAAAGCTCTGTGTCATGGTGACAACCTGTCCAGGGTGTACCACACCTCACAGTGTGTCTTAATTTAATCCAGGAAGCAATTACATTTGTCATCACAATGTAATTGGTCAAACAATTGACATATGACCATATTTATAGGCAACAGGGTTGCATAAAGATTTCTCTTCACTTGGACTAAATGATCCTGACCCACATACAGTCCACCTCATTATTTCTACTTGACTTCTATATGTTGTTTCTGTTTAGTTGTGTATATTATTTACTGCTGCAGTGAACCTGTGCTCTCACAGGAAGCAGGGAAGTAATTATATATCAAACTGTACTAAATAAGAGCAGAGGGTACATTACACTCTATAGTTAGACTGGAGATATTGTGTTGATGTGTGTTTTTAATCAGGCCTCCTTTTTCACTCACTACTACTTTATCATTAGTTCTCGTTTTACATAACAGTTTCACAATGCTCAATATCACGTCTTGATGACAGCACAAAGTATAATATACCAACAGCAGGCTCTTATCTTTTATATTATCTATTGCTGTCAGACCATCACCAGAACAAATTGTTAGTGTAAGTTAAAGCAACACTAGGTCGTTTTTTTATCAAAAAAAAAAAAAAGACAGCTTCAAAATAATTTTGATGGTACATACCTGCAGGAGCTCAGGATGTTTAGCATGTGTTCTGGTGGGTCAGTGAGTGACAGACATTCACATCTGAAGATTCACATTGACAAATCACCATGCAGCTGTTTTAACTAAACACCTACACAAGCCTGGACTGGATCAACCATTCAGCTGCAGGTACGTTCAGTGCTTATTACACCAACACGGGGGCTTTACAGTTCAGTGGAGTGAATGAAGGGAAACATATTTAAAGTACAAGCAGGACAACATGTGGCTACATCAATAAGCAGAACTACATCCTCAAAGTGTATAGAGTGTAAGGGTGACCGCCCACTTTTAAAAACGGGAAAAAAGAAAAAGGTACAAGACTGTGTACATTATTATTTTGACTGTAGAGGAACTAAACCTTTGAGAAAGATCTCTTTGCAACGAACCCCAGTGCACTTCTTGAATTTGAACTTGTCGTCATGATTTTCACCTTCAGACTTCAGACTCTTTTCCTCTCTTAAAAAACACTGCATGTTAGAGAGGGGAATCGTGGTCACTCTGGGGTAAATTAAATGTGAAAATTCCCATGGTAACAGTGAGCTTTTCATAAAATGCAGTTGATAACATACAAACTTGTAGCTTCTACAGGCGCACATGACATTGCTTTTTAAAATTTCATAGCTTGTGGTAAATCTTCCTTATATACAATATTATGGCTGAAAATCTAAATTTTACTTTTTGGCATTTTTACTTCCGCAACCATACTGTTAAGCCCTATAGTGTCCAACAACAACCCACACAACACATCAAAATGGCTGAAGGTCATCATGACGTGGCAGCAGTAATAAACTCAGCTTATGCTCCCAAATAACAGTCAGGTCAGTTTTTTCATGTATGGATTTTACAATTTAAATCACAAAAGACGGCAGCCACTGAAATACAGTCACACTGAACCAGGATCACACAAACCAGCAGTGAGACAACAGAAGCACAAACATAACAAACTCACCTCTCTTCCCTTCCCATGGAGGAATAAAAAGAGACAGAAAGAAAGGAAAGACAGAAACATTATGAGATGTTTCATGTGTTCTTACTGCACTTTGGTCAATTTCTTTGACAACCATTAAAAAACAGTTGTTCAGCACCGTTTCTTTCTACTACGATTAGTTTAAAAAAAGGGTCCCTTGTTATATTTTGAGGGTTTTGACAATGGAGGAGTCACAGATAGCAATAGGTTGTGTTGATAACGTTTCTGATTAGACGGAAGAAAAATGTACAAAAAACAAAAAGAATCCAGAGCTTTTGGTGATAAGGGCGATAGAGTCGATGTACTGTCAACAAAATCACATGGTCTACGCAGTAGAATTAATGGTAGGTCCTGCCTCTGCCTGCCGCACCAACCCTCGCCTGAACGCTCTGGAGATTTCTGTATTGTTGTGAACGTGTCTGACTGGAGAATCTCCAGCTGAGACGTTTGTCAAACTACAGAAAAAGTCCAGACCCAATAGTGCACACACGTTCCAGAGTTCATGTCTGAAAACGGCTTAAGAGAAATTCTACCAAGCGGACCAATAACAGTTGCTGTTATTATACACCAGTAGAATTAAAAGTAAAAAACACAATAACTGATTATTATTAAATTTTTTTTTGCATTTCAGTTGTCAAGTGTGGAGTGCTCTTCAGTGTGTGTAGATTCTGTTCTTTCATGAGGAAACATTGGGGAATGTCAGAATCTTCGTAAAAAACTGCTTAAAGTTACAGTGTGTAGAATGTTGTGATATCTAGTGTTGAAGTTGCATGTTGCAGCTGAACACCCCTCACCTCACCCTCTCCCTCCAAACATGAAAAAGAACCTGTGGTAGCTTCAGTTGTCATAAAAACTCAAAAGGTGTTTAGTTTGTCCAGTCTGGACTAATGTAAAAAACATGGCGGCCTCCGTAGAGAGGGTCCCCTCGATGTAAATATAAAGTATTTGAATATAAAGGGACTTTTCTGGGGTAAAGAAAACTACAATTCAAACAATTTAGATGGAATGAACTAGTGAAAACATCATGAGGATTATTCTACATTAAATTTCTGCCAATAGATCCCTTTCACCTAAATCTCACACACTGGACCTTTAAGTGGGTTTTAAGAAGACATTTCTTTCTAAGGATGGTTGGAGAATCAGGCCTATTGTTTCTAAGTTGTTTAGCAAGTGACAGTGAGCAGACACACATTTAACATTTCAAAACTTATTCAACTGTGTCAAGTGTATTTATTTATATTATAGTATTTGGCTTGTATAAGGCCTTGTCGTGACTTTTAAATGAAAAGAAGTAAAGCAAAACAGCACATGAACTGCCTGAAACACTCAGCTCATCACTTTAACATTTTAATAATGAAACAATGAGAAAAAATAAACAACAATGACAGCCAGAGACAGAGTGGGCATGTAATCGAAGCTGACAGTAAACAGGAAAACAATTTATGTTATGCTTTATTCTGTGACAGTTTTTGGCAGCGCTCTGAAAAAAAAAAGCCTCTAATTTGTAGTTAACGTGACATCTGAAGCTCGGAGCAGAGATCCATCGGTCGCCATGGCAGCGGCAGAGTACAGCGTGTTATTATTAGCTTTGAAACAGATGCCTGAGCGCCATGCTGCCACTTAGGGCCGATCAAACCGCCACGTCTCAACACCTATGATTGATCAGTTTTACACTGTCGCGCATAAACGCTGCATGCATATGGGCCGTGGGCGTTGTTTTCATCAAGCCTCCACCGCCGATGTTAATTCGACGCCACCACTTGCCGTGTCATCCGCCACTTTACCATGTATGCTGCCAACCAAGGCAAAAGCAAATGGACAGTGCAGTGAAAAAGTGATCAAGGATGTTATATGAAATGATCACGTAATGTCTGTCAGAGGATATAATTAAATAATTAAAAAATAATTGTACGGAGGACAAGAATCAGAGGAAGGAGAGTTTGAGCGTTATCTGTTCTTTTTTTAGAAAGTCAGCTTCTACATCAACGATGAATTTATGTCATACATGACCAAATTATTGATTTTCTCAAGGTTTCTTATTTATAGGCAGCTATTTTTCATGCACTGCATGTCAGCTATTTCAGAGGTTTTAAGAATAAGAAGAAAAAAAGAATGATAATATTGTTTTTGCAAACAGACAGAGATGTCAGGAGTTAGTAGATTGATAAATGTCTCGGGGAACAACAATACCACAACTATACAGTAACTGTGGTTCAGGTGCTTCAGTGAGAGCTGAAACAAACCGTGTGGACAGAGTAGAAATGAAATACCTCGGAGTGATGTTCATCGTTCTGCTGCAGGACTTCAATGCAGAGCTCCCCCAGTCTCATCATGTCCTCCAGTCTTTTCTCTGGAGCTGCCTGAGCATCCTCTGAAGGCAGCAGGAAACATGAAGGATGGGAATAAAAACACTGCGAGTTAGCTTCACATGCAGACATTCAAACATGTCTATGATTCCCAGAAACCCCAGCTGATTGGACAGTAAGTTGACCTCTGGGTCAAATCTGATGAGTCACTGCCAGATGACGCGGTTATACCTGCTCCTCAGAGGATGAACCATTTAGATTTGAATGTTTTTTCCACGATCAGAAACAGTTTTAAATGTTTTTCTTCAATGTTGGTAAAACAGAGACCTGTGACACTTCTATCGTCTTCCTCCCCATCTGTACTCAAACCTGCATCCTTAATCTTAATACTGGTATTGATACTGGAGGGTAAATAATGCAAAAACAATATCCCTATTTTATTTTCAATAAAAATGCACGTTGTGAATTAATCTTGATCCCTTAGATTTTGTTTTTCTTTCGATAATTGTGATAACTACCATCACTGAGTGGGACAGTGTAAAATGATTTGGTCATTAACAGAGCGTGCCATGAGGACAATAATGTGTTGTCCATGGAAGACAACACAGAAAGCACAACATGACAGTGTGTTCGAAATCGTCAAGAGATGTTTTATCATACTTTCTCTTCATCACTTTGTGAACGATGCACTTCATTCATATTGTTCACAGCAAAGCTACAAACTCTCACCCTTGATCTGAGCATATTCCATCAGCTGACTGTAGTTTATCTGAGCTGCTTTTTCCAGGCACCTCTGCACGAGTTTCTTCATGTCCTCTGGAGGGACAGGCGTGGTAATGTCCTTCATTAAAACCTGAAACAACACAAACAATGACCACAGCTTGTCAGGAACAGAAACCAGAGCAAAGAAACCCCCACAATGGGTCCAAGATTCTCAGTGTGATGCTTCTGTAGTAAAAAAAAGCCATATGAGACGAAATGGTGACTTCGGAGTATGGGCTATACAAATAAAATGGGATGAACGGATTGACTGAAAATGATTGTTCTTTCTCAGCTTCTGAAATCACTGCTTATATGAAGTATAAGTTGTCAGAACCAGTTGGGAGTTGCAAGAGTTGGTGTTGAAAACAAAGTTACTGCAAAAATTGAAAATCATTTTCTTGGGCAGGATGCTAACGGGAGCACCATCTCTCCTCACAGTAAAAAAAAAACAAAAGAATGAAAGAAAAAGTTAAGCATCCTCTGGTCCCTTCAAAAACCAGCAGTGCTTCATAGCGTCTGTCTCACCCACCTATACACACGTTCACAAACTGAACAAGCTGCATTAACACTAATCATGAGTTAATTTAGTCTAACTTTCATTGTTCATTTGATTAAATTTGCAAATGGCAGGCTGTAACTGTACACTTTCCAACAATGGTGACAATATTAAAATAATAAACAACTTGCAACATCTCTAAGGATGGCCTACAAATGTTAAGAGTACCACTGATTTATCATTCCATTTCTTGGACTCATAATGGACGGTTTTCAACAGTTCATCTTTGTTTTTTTCTTCCGTCACTTAGAAAGAGCCTTTGACGTATGAAGTCAAATTGTTGGAGTGGAATTTCCCTTTAACAGATGTTGTAATTGAATTAAAAGGTTTTTGAAAGTTTTTCTGAAATTGTTTTTAATGTACATCATCATGAACACAAGACAAAATTATCTGACAGGCCAACAAGTTGAAATGGTTACAGTTCTCATTCAATTCTTGCCAGTGTTTATTCACAGCATAATTATTTACAATAATTCATAACTGGTATCATAATGACTTTAGCTATTTATACATCATTGCCTTATATCATTGCACACATATCCTAAATATTTTAGTGACCTATTTCCAACCTATCATCATTCATTCTGCTTGTGCTGGTGACACTACTGAAGCAATATTCATAAATTAATCTCAAGTCTACCTCTTGGGTAAGAGTGTTTTCAGTATGATTGCTATAGGAGTGATTCTGGATAAACTGAAAAATACAGGATGGAACGCTTTCTGCTCTGTATATGAACAAGATGCAGAGAACACTGAGAAAACCTTACAGGAAGTTTAAATGTGTTTTGTACCCGTTCCTGCAGGGAGAGCGTTGCCTTCAGGGCCCCATCTGGTCGTCCAAAGGGAAAGCAGTACCTTCAGATGCAAAACGTGGGACATCACATTAAGAAACAATCTCAAGGACAACTGCATGGAAAAAAAGAAAAAAAAGAAGAATAGGAGGATGGAAGAGGCAGCAGAAAGACGTTGGTTAGCATCAGCAGATGGTTGCCTTCTTTTCATCTAATTACACTGATGAAGAAGGTTTTCTCACCTCCAGCTCCATCTGAGCGCAGACGAGGCGGTTCAGAGAGGTTTCATGTTGCTAATTGACAAGTGAACAGTACTTAATAAACAAAGACACATGGTCAGACAGGTCAGCCATTTATTGGACAAAAACAGACAGACAGGTGTTCTGTTCCTTCATCGTAGTTCTAAAACTACGACTCGGAAGATTCTATTCATATTCTAAATTACATATTTACTGTAAATTAATATTTATAGTAAAGTTAATCACGAAAGAGACTATGTTTAAACGGCCTGAACTGTCTCTGGGGAATGTTATATATTGTTTCCAGTGTCTCCATGGAGAGCGCAGGCTTCAGAAAGTAAAACACAGGAACATCTATGATAAATAAATCAAAATGTTACAACCTGACTCATAAGACCCTGAAAAAAGCCAGAGACACCGTTTTTAGCACTCAAACAGGAATAGATTACAAAACCATAAACAGCGAAACTTACATGAATAACAAAATCTCAAACTAATCTATGGTGTGTGTACGTCGGATCTGTGTGCAGGTGTTGTTAGTGCATGAAAACAAAGTAAAAAAACATGAAGTAAAGCAGCTGTTGACAGAGAGAGAGAGGCACACTCTGGATGCTGCTGTTACCAGCTGGTACAGACCATCCCTGCCCACACACCAGGTTCCTGAAATGCAGACCCACGAAAACAGATTGATCGGGAACACAAAAGAGGATCTGTCACTGTCATCTTTAGATATGTGTATGTCTTTTCTCTAAGGTATTGGCTTGTAACAACATAGCCCAGTGCATCAGCCTCTGGTTCGCACAGGTGCCGACGTAAACGTTAAAATACTGAAGGGCCCGAATCAGGGCTACAGCTTCCTTTTTGATCAGTAAATAATTGAGCTGATAAGATGCACATACAGCAAACACAAATACAAAACCATGCCAGCACCTACATTACTGTTAACAACAGAGAGCCAATTCAAATTCAGAGAGGTACAGAAAGAGAACATCTCCTCAAGCAAAGAAAGTCTGAAACATCATGATGTCAAATTAGCATTCTGATTAATACTCCCACACATGTAGCTGTTCTTTTAAACAGGCCAGTTAATGATATAACAATGGTGGAACATTTTTCATGAAAAACCAAAAAAACCCAGCAAGGTCAAGACACTGCATCACGTCTTTCTGTGGGGGAGAAAAGTCCTCCACTGTCCACAGCGTCTCACACACAGGGTGCACAACACTTTGCCTTACGCCTCTGCCAAAATACATCACAGGCGCCTTGATACCCTCACTTGGCCGTGAGACGCATCTCAGCCAGGCAATCACACCAAACATGCGCATCCCAAGAATCTGTATAAATCACCACGTTGTCAAAATACACTTCACATCCGTCCAGTCCAAGTCAAGTGAATCATTCTTAAATCCAAAACTCGTGACTTTATATGGATACGGTCCAGAGGGCGTAATGAAAGCAGAGATTGTGTGTGCACATGCAGACAGTGGGACCTGCCAATACCCCTTCAACAAATCTCATTTACTCACTAAGTTGCAGGACCAACTTGATCTTACAGTCCATGCACAGCAGTGGGAAAGAATCAGGATTTGGGAAACAAACACATGAGGTTTTATAAAATTTGGAGCAATAGATTATATTCAGTGCAGGAACATGTTTTTCCAATCGAAGATGACAAGTTTCAGCTAAAGGTTAAACAAGTCATTGTGTTGTGCGTTGCTTCAAGTTAACTTTTCTAAGCCAGTAGCTCAGTCCATAGGGAACCGGAGGGTTGCCGGTTCAAGTCCAGCATGGACAGAAGTTCGAGAGGTGCCAGTTCACCTCCTGGGCACTGCCGAAGTGCCCTTGAGCAAGGCACAGAACCCCCCAATTGCTCCCTGGGCGCCTGCATGGCTGCCCACTGTTCCTTGTGTGGTCACTGTGTGGATTGTGTTCTGTGTGTGTTTGCATGTTGCATGCTGTGTGTGGGACCATAAAGAGGAATCTTAATATATAATCAAGACCTTCATCTTTCCTCAACACAACCACCGAGAAAATTCATGACAGCTATTGGAGGGAGATGAGCTGTCAGTCATAGTTTGTATATACATTCATATAAAATGAATACTTTTTTCAATGATAAAATATAATATGATATAATTATTTGCTGTTGCATTTAAACGCTATAATTGACAGTTCATTAAGGAACATTTGTCAACTGTGTTACTTGATGCTATATATCAGATTCTGTAGTCAGGATTTAAAACTATATGAATCTTCAATGCCTGAGCTCAGCTTTAATCCAAACCAAACTCTGGAAATCCTGCTCTTGTCTGCCGGAAATTAACATAATCCCGGGATTGTCCCGGCCATTGTTTACCAGCATTAGCCTCTTGTTGAGGTGAGTTTGTAATGACTCCCGCTGATCGAGCCCCCCACCCCCTCTCTCCACTCTCTCGGCCCTGACCTGGCTCTTCTCCCCTCTCTGGGCCAGATGGAGGGCCCCTTTCAGGCGAGAAGGGTTTCAAGAGCCAGGCTTCGGGACAGTTAATAGCACAGGCCCATTCAGACGAGTGTTGTTCAAGGTCTTGGGGCTGTTGCTTTCACACCACGCTCACAATGTGTTCACACGCCGGTGGCGGCGCTGAATAGCAGCACGCAGATGCATGGAGGTCTCATCAGCCGCTGTCAACACATGTCCTGCAGCTATTATGTGCCGCTGATGGGGCTACAAAATACCCAGACTGCCTGGGCTCATTATGATGGAGTTAAAGGAGCGTAGCAGCAGTTTTACACGTTTTTGGTATAGTTTTCTTCAAATCACTTCACATAACAGCATAAGAAAAGAGATGACACAAAACAAAGCTTTAAAAAGCTAACACCATTCCTCCAGTGTGGGACAGTCATTTCTTATTTTCTTCATTATAATGCGTTTCGATTATTTTACAGGTTACCTAGAGTTTCGATGACCTCTGACTCGTGTTCCATTTTGTTTCAGCAATGAGCATTGTCCCGAACAAATGAACTCGGAAAGTGATGAGTATGTTTATATGAAAAAAAAATGAATAGCTTTAATTTGATCTTATTATTCAACAAGGTTTATAAATCCAGGACTACTAGTCTTTGTCTCTGCTACCTGCCTGAACTCTTCTTCACTGACCACTCTCCTGGACTCAGCTTCTATTTACTCATTGGGAATGAAAGAAGAGTGTGAGCTGTTTGCATGGCCAAAGTCAAACTTTCCCACATTTTCAGTATTAGAAAATACATTAATTATCATAGTACTTTTGCTTTAATGAATATCTACAGTGTAGCTACAAGTGTCTCTGGAGGAAGTGACCGTGAGTTTTTTTGTGAGTAAAACCTAAATTACTTTCCCTTGTGCTGTGTTCAAAACTACAGGAATGCGACAAAATGGGTTTCCATTAGTTTAGTTTAACCTTCAGAAGTCTGCTTTTCGATTTCCGACAGAAATGTATGAAAATGAACGGTCTTGTTTCACGATGGGGAAGTTCTTACCTAAAATGCGTGATCTGGTTCTCCAGCAGAGCTATCAGACGACTCCTGATGGCCTCAAACTGTTCCTTCTCCTCCGCGGTCACTGTCCCCATCCCATCCGGCCTGACGAGACAGAAAAATCAAGACACAGTGAGCTGAGTTTACTAAATGAACACAAATCACCTGCTCAAGTAGTTTGGCTTTCCGAATGTCCAAATGATGATGTGAACGTGATGTCATGAGACCATTAATGAGCTAATAATTCCAGAAATCTGTCTGTCTGTGACTCATCTAATCAGCTTTACACTTGGAATATGTATTGTTAAGGGCCCAAGGAAAAGCGTGTCATTTGATATGATCAATAAACCTTGAATTAACAGGCGACCAGTGCTCTGTAGCAGTGATGGCTGGGACTCAACATCAATCTTGTCGATCACGACACCAGCACATTCACAATAAGAGCAACAACAACTGGTGTTCTGCATACTGAGTCGAGCTTCACTAAACTTTGAATAAACAGCTCTTTATGTGGCAGAAGGTCTTTACTTGATGCAGCTCAAGTACTGCAGGTCACTTTTATAGTTTCAGAAAGAAAGCTGCAACCAGTATTACCAAAGGCCAAGCAAACATCCCATTGTTAACATTGTTAGTAGCACTGCACTAGTTTTGTCTTGGTCTCTGCTGTTCATTTTGTTCAATGTCTAACTGCAAACAATAAAACCAGGCCTTTATGCAGATGATTCACATCCCTAACCTTGACGGACAGATAGAACATCTTCTGAGCCACTGGAAGGCTTTTATTGTGATTTGCAAGAAGTGTTGAATTAATTGAAAAGAAACTTAACTGCAAGTAAACCTTGGAAAAGTATGTATTCATTATTAAACAGTATGAACATTTGATAAATCCAGGATAGAATATTATTTATACACAAGATCTAAGATTGTTTCAAATAATGGTCTGGTTCTCACCGTAAATAACAAGCGTGTCAAAGAAAAAAGAAAATGTGAAGGTTTGGAAAACAGCCTAGAATGTTTTTCTTTTAATTTTTTTTCTCGCTCTGAGTTTGACTGGCTTATTTTTTTTAACAAACTAACCGATCGAGCAGCCAAACTCTCCACACTGACCTCAAAGTCAACCAATCAAACAGAGAGCTGCTCAGGCTCCACTTCCTCCTCCACAACTCATCCCGCCAGCAGAAGGAGAGACCACAAAGAATAAACTGCTAGCTGAGGGCTTCATTAATGTTTGTAAAGCTTTCATTCCCTTCTTGCCTTCGTCTGAATAGGCACTCTGGCAAAAAAGGGGAAAAAATGCAATCAGGACCCAATGCGACCAGCCTTGACTTTCTGGGCTTTCTCTATGCAGCTGAAAGAGAAAAGCACCCTCTCCAAACGGCACTCGCAGTCGCCGGAGGGAAGAAGCGAGGAGGTTGTCTGTTAATGAGTTGTTCTTATAAAAGCCTTCGCTGGTTCAGCCCCTGACCGCTGTGCCTTGACTACCAACAACTCCGCCGAGCTCCTCGCAGCATATTGAATTGGTAATAACAACGTGAAGAGAAAGGACAGCAGCAGGTGAGACAAGGATACTGAACCATTGCTGCTTAACTTCCAGCGAATGATGATGACAAGAATAATAACTTTATTTAACCAGAAGAGTGCCTCACTTACAATGAAAACACATATTACAGGAAATCACAACAGTGGCACGTTGTAACATGTCACAGTGTAAAATAAGAAACATGTGGACACAAAATGTTTTAAAAACAAGAATAATAATTGTGTATGTGGCGTTTACATGTGCTAGGTAAGATTGATGATGATTATGATGATAGTAAAAAATAAATAAAATCATACATCCATATAATAAAATAAAATGAAAAGAATAATAATAATAATTCAATTTGTTTGAAATTTAATTAAGTTTAAACAACTTAAAATTTGACACATACACACAAATAAATGATACATCAAACTAAAGAAAAGAGACAAAATTACATAAAATGACACACAAAATAAATGTAAAAAGACTGAAAATAAATATGATAGATTATACAAATATTACTATATTACATATAAGCATATATGTTCTGCAACATATAATATATGATAAATATATGCAATTAAATAATGCATTTAAATTGCAGTTATATACTATATAGTGCATATATAAATTAAAAATAATATAAAGTATGGTTTATTTTTAAAATTTAAAATACAAAAAAAACCCTTTAAATGAAAATGATCAATAATAAAATAAATGTATTATTCATCATACAAAATAGATATGAGGATGATGATGATGTGTCCAGGTCAACAGACAGTGTTTAAACTCTTCAGAGAGGCTGGTTTTTAGAGGGTGGAGGTTGCAGATGAGCTGTGATAAAGATGACAACAGGAAGTCGTCATGTATTGTGCGAGAACATCAGCGTCTCTCTTCAGCTCCACTCTACTCTATTCAATCGGTAATGAGAGGCAGCTTTCCCTGCACAACAGCACTTGTTAGCACAACTTCTAAACCCTGTTGTTCCTCAAATCTGGCAATTCATCACGCACCCCCCTCCATTTCCCACAGCCCCTATTTAACAAGCACCAGCTAATCTCTGGAGAACGTAAAGCAGTCTGTGGTGGTGTGTGTGTGTGTGTGTGTGTGTGTGTGTGGGGGGGGGGGGTGTCCACTTGTAAAGGCTTTCATGTTGAAGAAGCCAAGGACCCTGCTCTCTAGGCCCCCTCACAGACTAATGAAGACATTACGACTGTCATCACAGTGGGGTCTGGATGGATGGATGGATGGACGGACGGACGGACGGCCTGAGGCTCCAAGCCCTCGTGGTTATGGGCAGCTGTTCAGTAATCCGAGTTTTTCGTCTTCCACGATCAGTTGATTTATTTCCATGTGCAGCTCAGTTCACAGCGAAGTGACACAACATAAAAGGACTGATCACTTTTGCAGCTCATGTTACTTTAAGCCTCAGTGGGAGAAGAAAACAAATGTTTTTACTTTTACTTTTCACTATCATATTTGCATTACCAAAAAAATCATAGCCTGTGAATTAATAAATAGTAATGAGAACAGAATTATTACTAGTAATTTTTATTCAAGGATACAGATTTGAGGATAAGTTATTCTGCCAGCACTGACAATGACAGGGTGCCATCTGACAGGCTTAGCATTACAACAAGTTTGAAAATTCACATGTTAACTGACAGTAACAGCTTCTACATCTTGCAATTCCTAAAATTACTTTTTTCTATAGGATGGTGGTGCGACCTGCATGCTGACAAAGTATAACCATGAAGCCTGAATTTTGTCCTCGTCTTCAAATATCTTGTTTTGTCTCATCGTCAAAATCCAATGTTATTCATTTTACGATCATATTGGAAAAATAAACCCTAAAGTCCAAAAAGTGGAAAACACAGGCACCTGTCATTTTAACCTGCAGTTCAAGTAAATTAATTTGATTTTAAAGACTAATTCAACAGATGTCTTTTTCTTGCTGCATTTCAATAATATTTTTGAGCACAAAAGCAAAAGATTCTCCTTTTTATGGGCAAAGGTGGATAAAAACATGTTAACAAATTCAGTGTGTAGGAAGCTGAAATGTTTTTTTCTGAGAGATTTTTGATGATATATTAACAACTCAGTTTTCCTGCAAATGTAAGTCATACCTTCCACTTCCTCTGAATCAAATTATGACAAGAAACTAATGGGACGAGGAGGACGTTGGCAGGATGCCACACGTAAAGCGCTCTGAGCTCATAGAGACACACTGAGCTGTTTGGTAGCTCTCCGTACTGTGCCATTAAATCGAGTCAGATGTTTGTTCATGCTTGGACTCACACGGAGGAGTGGGGAGCGATGCGACAGCTTGTCGGGCTTCAGACACATTGTTGCCGCTAAATGAAGCGAGCACGTTGGAGGCACGGCTGCTGTCAGCACAGCTCCAGGGTGGGGGCAGGGGGGGGGGCGAGGAGGAGGAGGAGGAGGGGTCTGTAGGCTCAGGTTAGGGTGTTTACACTCGATGTGGCTCAAGTGTAAACGGTGAGCACCATATCAGCCCGCGGCTGTTTGGTTCTGATGGCAGTTGACGAGAGTCGTTATGAGCGGTGCTCGCGGAGCGGGGTGGCAGGGTACCGGGTGTGGACGCCACTTCACCTTAAGAGGTGTCGAGAGGAGATGAGTCTAAGTGGCAGGTGATCATGTGTGCCACCTTCGTCCTCCCCCATCACCTCTCTGGAGATGGAGTTCTGTTGTGTGAATGGTTGGGGGAGGTAAAAGCTTCTGTCACATCCCATGTTGGTGCGGCCCAGAGAGGAGAAGATCTGACATGACAGGTGAGAGGGAGACGAGCACCCATCCCTCCAAGTTCTGCTAATGCTCCTTTAACCCTGATCTCAGTTCACACACACTTGTCTCATCAAACACTCACAGAGAAACAAGACAAAGTCCAAGTGTTGCAGTTCCTTCACCTGCGTAGGTTAGTTTGTTCCATCAAACCCAGCAGCAGCAAACACTTCATTGTCCAATTCAAACTTCAAGTGTCTCTTGTCCAAATTCTGTTTGATACCCTTTATTTTACACTTTTGCAATGTGAGTGTCACGCCAGCTGCTGTTATCACAGAAGACACCCCCTGCATTTCCACGCAGCTCTTACAGATGAAATCACATGAGAGGAATAAGAACAGTGTGTGGCCATTTTAACCCTCAACATAAACAAGTCTCCACAATCAAACTCAGCTTCAAGGCACCACATCCAGAAGAAACAATCTACTGCAGTTCCAGTGTAATGGTGAGAAGATGACCAGTAAAGAGCAGACACAAAGCATAAAGAATTTGAAAGGATCACACTGACTAGCATTAACACATAGTAGAAATAAGAAATGCTAATGCTGATAGCTGACATGTTTCCTTCTAGAACTGAGAGTTTTCTTAAAAGCACAGTCTGATACAGAATAATTTGCCTTGAAGTATTAGTCAAGTTCTCTCCTGTTTCTCAGTCTCTCTTCATCCTCTCTGCCTCCCGCTGCAGTTTCATCTCGTCGGAATCCCTCCAGGGGAAACTCGAGTTCTGTAATTAAGTTTGCATTTTTTTTTCTCCACCTCCAAGTCTGCCAGCCATCCAAAACCCTCTTTTTTCCCATCCACACCCACTCAGGCAGCTCCAGGACCCCTGAATGGGCATCAATTATTCAAATTACAGTTCCAACTGACAAAAAGCCAATTCCAGCTATCCCTCCCAATTTATATCTGGCGATTAGCTGGAGAAGCTAATCATTAAGCTTTCTAATTGAGTGAATGAGTCGTCAAAGAGAGAAAGCACAGATATCAGTAATTACCAGCCGAGGAGTCAAGCAGGGGCTTCTGGGAGTGAAGTGGAGAACTGAACTGCTGGAGCGGCGCTTATGCCAACAAGTGGCTAAAAGACACTTGTGTTGCTCATATCTGGGGAGTTTACTGCTGACGAACAAGGGCCTGAATGAAAGCTGAGCTGCCCTTACAGACACTGCCCTCCTGGGAACGTCAGCTGTTTGATCAAAGTGTAGAAACATACACATTTGTTTGTGTTCAAGTGACTGAATCCTAAATCATCCTAAAGCAGTAAGTATGGCTCGGGTCTGTAGGGTGCAAAAGCGGAAAGAGTGCGACTTTTTTTAAGAGCAGCAAAGTTCTCGCCACAAGAGGACCGGGTACATATCCGCCATGAATCATAAATGTACTGAATTTATTTGGCCCAGTTTGTTTTTATCAGTATCACAACTATTTTTTGACAAATATCTCATCAAGTATTAGTCTGCAGTGGACTGAAATGAGGATTTGAACAGCATTCTGCAAGTTTATACACCCATACACAGAGTCTGCAAACTAGTGTGTGGAAGTTTGGATATTTGGAGTCGACCTGTGTTTGTGTGATGGCTTTTGTTGGATTGAATGCAAAGACAAAGACAGATGTTCTTCTTCTTCTTCATCATCTTATTACTGTCATTATTATTATATCTACTGTATTTTTCCCTCGAAACCTCAGGGGTGAGTACAGTGAGTAATGAGGATGAGGTCACACACTGGTTTCCCACCCACAAAAAACTAACAAACCAAAAACAATCCTGTTTGTTTGCCCTCCATGTTACTGGCAGGGTCATAGATCTGGGTCCCAGCAGTGATTGATGGGAAGTGCAATAATTATCATGGTCTCTCAAGTGATATTCAAAGCTAATTTTAATAAGACAGTGATGGCAGAAGTACCTGTTTCCGTGCACGTGGGAGACGCAGAAGGCGTAGCTGTAATGCAGCAGCGTGGGGTCGACCAATGTGTTGTTCTCTGAATAATCCATCAGACCCTTCAGGTAGCTCAGGTGACGATGGCAGCCTCGGACGCCGTACCGTGCACAGTACTCATCCAGGACGAACACCTGACCAGGACTGAACCAACCCTGAAGTCGAAAAAAAGAAAAAGTAAACACTTATATCAGTTTCAGGCATAAACAAAAGAAAAAAGCTTTAGTTGTTGTTGTTATAGCGCATGAATAAAACGTTTAGCAAGAAGTCTAAATCTAACGTTGCAATTGCATTAGGCCCCCAGATGCTCACAATTATATTTTTACAATTATTTATATATATATTTATAAATATAATCTTATTTTCCCCCCAGTCTTTTATTGTTAGTATCAAACATTGTATAGCTCAATCTCTCAATCTTGAATACCCTGTCTAAAAAGTCAGGCTCTGATTTTCTAAAGCATTCCTGAAACCTAAAAGTGTTGTTCAAAAAGAAAGGTTAAAATGAATCACAGAAGGTTGATCAAGTGGAAATTCTTCAGCAAATAATCTCAAGTGTCATGAATCTATCGAACACTCACATCAGAATGATTCAACCTTGCAGTTTAAAAGAGGAAACTCACTCTCCACCAAAAGAGGTGTACGCCAGATCCTAACACAGCAAAAGTGATGCGTTTGAAGACTTACTCGTAGTGTGGACGCAGAGTTTTTGTGAAGGTGAAGTTTGTTGGAGCATCACTAAGTCTCTGGCTGTCATTCACTAAACCCTACTCACTTCATAGGGACTGTATAGTGATATCATTGGCGAAAAAAAACTGTAATTACGTCATTGTCACAGGATTATAGACATGTCCCACAAAAGTTTTTTAAATGTTTATTTTACACTTAATGCAGTTAAAAGTTGAATGACCATGTAGAAATAAACTGTTCCTACTTTCATGTGCTGCTCTGCAGATAATAACAGATTTTACCTCCAAAAATAAAAAATATATCAGAAATATTAAGGATGGAAGTTAATTAGACTTAATCAGTCTGTGAAAATGTCGGCAAATTTAAACCTGTCTGTCTTTATCCTAATGAGAATTCTGACTTTTGAAAAGAATAAAGAGTAGAATCAAGAAAAGGTTAGTGACCATTGGTTGTACACTATGGTCTGTACAATGAGTTCACGATATGAGGGATACAAAATGTCACTATACAATAAGACAGCACTAACAAATTGACTATATTATATAGTAAAGTGATTAGTGAGTGATTTTGGACGCAGCCTATAGTAGTCTTTTCAATTGGAGTTGGTAAATGGGACAAACACACAGCTATACTATCTGATAGATGTGAACAGCAGTTTGTTATGAACTCCACTAACAGGCTGAACAACTGTCCAGAAAAATAACCAAACGATTCCTTTACAACATCCTGCTGCCATGGGAGCCGTGCGCAGACAAAAAACAACTCTGGTCACCTATTGGCTTTAAAGACTCAATAAAAATCCTCCATACTTCTTTAACACAATTAAACAGAGAAGTGTAAAGGTTAACCCTCCAACTAGTAATTCTTTACTACAGTAAAAAAAAAACGAGACATGCAGAGAGGTGTGGAGCGACTGGAACACGGCGAAATGTTCATTAGTTCATTCATCCTGCACGTAAACACTAAATTAGGTAGGAAACTTACATCGCTAATTAAGATTCCTCACGGAAGGAACGTTAACAAATTAGCACCTCCACTGAGCTGACGCCACACACCAACACACAACCACACACACCCACACACCTAAACACACACCCACACACGTCCTGTAGTAGTAACAGTATATGTATCCGATCTTAATTTTGAGGAAGTGGAGGATTTTATTTATTCTAAATACAACAACTGATCAGTAGAGATTGTCCCTCTGTAAAAAAAAAAATTCTACATTTTAAATTGAGCATGAGTATGAGTACTCTGTTGTGCTTTTATGCTTTACAGGCTTTTCTGTTGATGAATAAGATGCAACTCCCCACAAACATCATAATATGACAACTGAGAAAATGACTTTAATAGAATGTGTCTTCAGAATAACAGCAGCAGCTGAGTTTAAAATCTAAAAGGTTTAATAATATTGCAGATCATTTAAGGATTGGTTCTAGACAATGTTATTTCCAAGATTTAATAAAGAAAGACTGGAGCTGACATGCTGCCTGTCGGGGTTAACCGGACCTGGCAGATTTCTCCTCTGCAGGCCTTTTAGTGTCCCCCCCCGTTCCTTCCTCACAGTCTTCAGTTTGTTTGTCGTTTCGAGTCTTTCATAATTTTTTTCTCCGTCTGTGAGCATGAGCTATTAATATCACACCACACAGAGAGAAAGGGGCCTGCTGACGGGCGTGAAGTGACAAGATGTTCCTCTGTGACAAACAGATGGCGAACTCCAGTCTTGGCACTGACCGCTCAATTAGCGGCTAACAAGCCGACTGCCTCGTTAGCTCTGTCGGCCGTGGACACACGTCTGAGTGTACACGCCTCCATTCGAGAAATGACACAACCGGGTAAAAGTGAGAGCGGCATGTGGTTTTTGGAGCGACTAACCTGACTGCAGACGGCTGAACAGGAGATGCTGAGGATTCTTCATGTTTTTTTATTGACGGATCTCAGACTGGTTAGTTTTGGCACACAAAACTATCTTTTGGTCCAAAAAAATTCTTGTGACCCTCACAGTCAGAGAGTTGCCAGTATGTGAGTCCATATGATGCACACAGTGTTCTATGTTCAAGCTAGGTAATTCTGAAGTTAATGAAAATATAAATATATGAGTGGCTGTTTAGACAGCTCAAAATTCAGTTCAGTCGATGCTGAGGTTCACAGCTCAAAAGTGACAAATCTGAATCAGCTGATCTCATGGGAAGCAGATATCAGAGCCTGCAAGTGGATGGGGGAGAATATATTGTTTACCTAAAGTCAGATTATTAGTTAGATACTGATTCAAATAGTTTTTTTCTTTCTTTCTTTTTCATGTGTTTTTTGTCTTGTTTGTTTAAATCAAAGATTTTAGAAATTATTTTTTCATGTAATATTATTTAACAGCCTCTCGCTCTGAACACAAAAAAGGAGGTTTGTATGTTTTTGAACAGTGTTTCTTGTTAAATTACTGAATCTTATTGTCTGTTACATTCTAAAATATTCAGATAATAAAACATCACCTATACAGTGCAGTGTTTATAAAATGCCTTGTTTGTTGTTGTGAGGTATAGTGATCTAAAAGGATAAAGTTGAATGTACATTTTACCTTCTCTTCAACCATAACAAAACTTCTTAGGTGACATGTAGACAAATATCATTTGTCCTGTTTCAGCTGTTTCACCATCGCTCTACCCCACATGTGACAAAATAAACTGTCAAAGTTCAAATAATGAACTTCATTTTCTAGGATTCTGCAGAGAGAAGCTAAGGGTCCAAACACTGACCTTCTGATTAGAGGACGACCCACTCTACTTTCCAAGAGCCAGCCCCCAGATGTTTCAACACATCACTGCATTAATCACAAATAGATGGAAAACACTAATTTAGGTAAATCTGTCCATTTTTTGTCATTTGGTAGTTTTCTTAGATGTCAGCAGTTCAATGCAATCTGCAGCCTCTCCCTTCTTCTTCTGCAGATTCCTCTAATTGGTGCACGCCCGAACAAGTGCACGCATACATCAGAGAAATTTAATTTAGAGTGCATAATGGTAGGGCTCCACAGGAAGTTAATTTGACAGCAGGACACTGATGGGAGAACACCTGCGTCTTGGTACTTACAAAAGTAGAGGAGACAAAGATGTTTCATGGCTTCGAGACTGGAGGTTGATGACAAACCAAAGTAAGGAGGAGTTACGTCAGTTTAAAAGATGATGGAGAGGTAAATATTGGGAGGTTGAGTGCTCATCACCTATGATCCCATGATACTTTACATCTGCTCCACCAGCCACAGGTTTAGGGAAGGAGGGGGGTGGATCTTGGGACGATGACAGAATACTGTAGTGAACTTGTCAATTGTTGATGGATCAAGAAGGACTTCTTTGTGTGTCTCAAAGGACATTTGTGTGCATGTTTGTCTTTTATCTCCCTACATTCAGGTCTACTGGTTGATCTGTTTTACAACTTTGTTTAAGATCTTTACTGGAGATGCTAATGTTTCTGAAGACACCACGTCATGCTGATTATCGATGTGTAAAACATGGTGGACAGACATATGTAGGGTATTTACATGTGATGGTTGCAGCTGAAACAACATGGATTCTTGGGTCTGAATAGTTAGTGTTGGAAAACCATGCCATAGATGATATGAGACAAATTTAGATTTCTCCTTTATTATCATTTATTATTATTTAAATAAAAGTTAAATCAACACTTTACTTCACGTTTTTATATCTTAAAGCTTCAAAATCACTTTGATGGTTCACAAGCTTATAATTGGGAGATACTACTAATACTACTATTACAAATAATAATAGTTAGTGGTAGTAATAATAATAAAAAATAATGATAAAAACAATTTTGTTATTGATTTCACCCAAGGACCAACATGTGTGTTTAATTAAAGAGCTCTTAGTTTTCATATTTTATTGTGTTGTTGTATTGATACAATGGTTTTTGTATCAAGCTAATTCCAGAAGTTATCAGAAACTCATTTTAGCTTTACCTCAACACTCCTCAACACCAGCAGCTTCACTGTGAATTGACCCTTCAGTCGCCAGTGGGAACTACATTCATCCAGTGAGTAGGACCTTGGGCCCCAGGTCCAAACCAAAGTTCTGCCTAATTACTGTTGTTGTTGATGTTGTTGGGTTCAACTCTGTGAATAAAATATGACCCCCGTCTATGACATGAATCCAAACCACTTCTCAACAGATGTCCCCCATGTTAAGGCAATGGCTTTTTCTCAGAGTGCTCTGAAAAGAGGCTCAGGTTGGAACACAAAGCCCGGGAGTTTTAACAAAAGGCTGAGGAGTGAGGAGCTGGAGGGGCAGAGTGAATGGCTCGGTCTAATTGCAGAGCTGGAAGGCGTCCTGGTGAGGCAGGTAGAGAAATGAAAGAAGCACAGATGTTACTCTGGTGAACATCTCCTCTTTCTGCTGCTTCATTCAGTTTGAGATGGACACTTTCAACTCCGAACAACAAGCATCTTAACTTGTTGTGAATTTTGCTAATGAAATATTTGGGTGATTGCGAGAACAATATTTGCTCTTACTGTGAGGCACCAGTGCTTTCATGTCTTTTAGCCCATTTATGAAACACCAGCTTACATAGTGATACACAAATCATTCAGGAAGTAGACTAGACTCTGAATGAACTGCAATGATTGGCTGACCAGAAAACAGAAAATAAAAAGATGAGAAAAACTGAATATTGTTCAAAGTTTTATGGTTCATTCATTTGAGTCAAGAATATACTGTGATTTAGAAAAATATTGGGAGCAGAGTAAATTACCCATAAACCGTAAGAAACAATAAAACAAACCACACCAGTGGCTGTTGTTTGACTGCAAATACAAATTTACTTCAGATGAGATGGAAACTTTTCAATCAGCAGCAAGTCCCATCTTTGCAGTTTCCTCAGAACAAGCTGTCCTATCAGCATGAAAGAGTCCCGTTTTTATCCATTAAATGGCTTTATTTCACCGTCCCCTGCAGTTCACGCAGTGAAACCAGGAAGCTCAAACTGAACCTGGCGGCCCTGAGCCGTCTCCAGGATATTTATTTGAGATTTCATTTGGACTCTTGCAGAGATTGTCCTTGACTAACACACATGTGAAGCGACGCATTCCTTATTTGAGCTGGACGAGAAACGAGCCAGAGAAAAGTTCCACTGGTGCTTCTAAATGCTCCAATTTTGGATTTACTTGCACGCCTCATATATTCACCTAAAAAGAAAACCCTGATCGCATATGAAAAGATTAATAACTGGGATACAAACACATGGAAACACAAAAATAACCCAATAGCTTCCTCTTGCAACCTAGTGAATCTCAGCAGGAGCTTCTTGTCAAACAAGAACTACAATGTATTCAGAGGGACAAGGGGATTTAAAGTAAAGTGAGAAATAATTAATATCAGCAGATATTTGTAAAGATGAGTGGAATTTTGGTGTTTCCAGACGTTCAACAAACAATCTTTTAATCTGACATTATACCTGACAGTGCTTTATTTTCTTACTACCAGTACAGCTCAGAAACAACATGAGAAATAAAAAACTAAAACCTCTGATGTCTTTTATTAGAAATCACACACTATTCAATATTTCCATGACTATAAATGAACATTAGGGTCCATATTGAGCTCATCACACATGAAACACTCTCTTTCAGTTTTAGCAGCAGAAACAGTCTAATTTAGGTTTTCATAATAGTTTGGTCATCATCACAGAAAAGGCAAATAATACTCAGTAATAAATCTTATTTTCAGTTTAAACATCAAAAATTATAGTCTTCTCTTTCTATTCCAGTTATGTGATTTTATATAATGTCTTGACTTTCATCAAATTATATGTAATTATATATTATAATTTGCCTGCAGGTATCAGTATTTCTTCTCGTACAACAGTTGCCTATAAATAACAAATGTTCTACATTGAACACGCTGTGACGACTGGATCACTGCCAGTACCAACTGTTTTCTCTGAACTCTGTAAATACATTTTTTCTCATCATACACCTGAAACATGGACCAACATATAGAACAATCCAAAGCTCAACTCATGTTTATCCTGAGGGCAATGTTTGCTTTTAATCTCAACTTTTTTACCTCCAGTTGTTCTTTTTAAAGTTGACTTATTTGTTTTAATTGATTCATTTGGTTTTAAATCAAATTGTATGCACCGTATTTATTCGTAAAGCTTTTACATTTGCTGTTCTTATTTACTTGGCATCTTGGAATATTTTGTTTATTTTCTTACTCGACTTCATTGTAAATAAGGTCTCTACCTCAATATGTTCCCGAGGCACAATAAAGGTGAAATGAATGAACACAAACGTGCCCATTGCAGGAGAGCCCAGATTTAACTGAGGCAGTTGATAACCAGCTTCATAGTACAGGTTATCAGGATGGCCTAATTTCACNCCCCCCTTTACTAATGTAGGTTTACCCCTCCCACACACCCCACCTCCACTGAGGCAGCCCAGCAGTTGTTCATGAGGGTCATGTTCCTATTTGTAAAGTATTGATTAGAGTGTTTATCCCCTCAATCAGTGTGAGAGAGCCCCCCAGGCTTAAACACAGACGGAGAGAGAAAGGGGGAGAGGGAGAGAGAGAGAGAGAGAGAGAGAGAGAGTTGGTTTTTAGTATTGATCTGTGGTTAAATTGTTTTGTCTACAAAATGTCCTTAGATGATTAAAAGTTTAAGAACTAAAATGTTTTTGTTTTGTCATTATCACAGAAACAAGAACAGTTCCTTCATTTGTGCTATAAAAAGGCTTTACGCACTAATCGAGTATCAAAATTGCTGCAGAATAATTATCTGACGACTAACAGATTAATTGTCTCAGGTAATGTAACGATATGGCTGTGTGCACAGAATTAGCCGCTCCTCCGGCTCGGGCAAACGGTGATGCCTTTTGGTCTGTGCTTTTAGCACAGACGTTTACTTTATATGGGAATGACAATAAAGCTGCTTTGTCCAAAATTAACATTTGGTCCTAGAGGAACTATTTGAACATCTGTGATCTGCCTGATATTACAATTTTTTTACAATATAGTTTCTGTAGAGGAAAACCAGTTTCCAACCTTCCCAGGAACAGTGGATGACAGTAGATGTTGGCACTGCCAAATTTCACAACATGACGTTCTTCAGGTTAAAGACTGATAGTCTCTCACTGATCACCTTATAGCTCAGGCTGCAAGTTTGAATTAAACCGGTATCCTATTATGCTTTTTCTTATTTCAGAGGTAAACATAATATAACAATGTTGGATTGTAATATTAAATGTGGTCAGGGCTTTCTATAGGTAAACTCTTGGTTTCCAACTGTTTTTTTTCAGCCTCTGGCCATTCTCTGTTTGTTCGACAGAGGACGAAATAAAATAGAAAAAGAGTGAATGCTTCACCACTTTTTCACAATAGTTTTCAACTACTTTTAATCCAATTCTACCAAATTTGTCAATCAACTAATCATTCCATCTCTTAAAAAACCAACCATTCCTTATTTGCCGCCATATACCATTAGGTTTTTCCACTTCCTCTCCAGAAGCTGCTTCCTGTTACTCACTTGTGCTTTACATTTCAAGTTTCTTCAGTGAAAGACAAGAAAATCTGGGGCTAAACAAAATGCAAAAAAACCCAAAACATTGTGACTATTTAACTGTAAAATGGTAAACGATCTGTATTTATATGAGCTTTTCTAGTCATGATGACCACTCAAAGCGCTTTACAGTACAGTTTTACATTCACCCATTCACACACATTCATACAGTGCATCTATTAACAGCACTTTTTTCTATGAGGGGCCATTCAAAGTTCAGCATTTTTCCCAAGGACACTTCGGCATGCAGATGGGGGAGACTGGGATCGGCAGCGCCGAAGAACAGGGCTCCACCCAGAGTATCTCGGACGAGTATCGAGTATGTTGAACATAAACTGATCTCCATCAATCATCAGCTGATTCCTGGGCGGTGCAGTGAAGAATCAAAGAAACCGAGGTTGTGTCAGATGATGTGTTTGTGTTAACGTACCAGGCATGAGAAGGAGTCGCTCATGCGGTGTTGCAGAGTGTGTTTCTGTAAAATGCTGAACAGGGCGGCGTGGTTGAGGCGACAAGGAGCCGCAGAGATCAACTCCTCCACTCCCTGACGCTGAGACGGATCCAGACCTGAGCAAGAAACACAGAGGGAGGAAAAAGATTTAGAGCTGCTCAGCCCTGGATCTCTGGGCGATCAGTTTGGTTTATTCTGACTTTCAGTGCAAATGTTTCTGAGATTATCTGTTTCAAACAGCAGTGTGAGTACAGTCTCCCAAAGGTTAGGGTAAAGATCAAGGTTGTGCTTAAGCAGACATGTGCCTGAGTACATAAGAATGACCTCTCAGGACTACCCTGGAAAATCATCCAACATGTGAGCAGTGTGATTATTATGGAGACGAGGCAATTTAACCATGAAAAGGTGATTTCTACAGAACTCATTTTCATTCCGTTTATCCTCATATTATCTGCCTTTCATTGAAGATTTAAAATTCTGATCACTGTTTTAGCGCCATTGTCAGGAGAATGGTTCCCACAGCTCACTCAGCATCATGATCAGACTCCATGAAGCTCTGTTGATGTGAAAGCTTTCCTGTCAAAGCAAATAGGACAAGGAAAACATTTTCTGAAAAGTCACAATCGGATAAACTAGAAAGATCTGAAAAATGTACACAAATAGTGATGTAAACATTTCTATTTTATTACTTCCACCAAGGAGGTTTTGTTTTCACCCCTGTCCATTTGCTTGTCAGCAGGATCCCACAGAAACTACAGGATAGATTTCCACCAACACACAAGGATTTATAATCACTTTGGTTCACGTTGTGAGTTTTTTGAGTTTTTTTTATAAACATCTCAGAGAATAATTAATTGATCTTGATAAAAATTACAAATTAAAAAAATATTTATCTATAATTCTGAATAATTAAAGATTTCAAACCAAAGAGTTACTTATCGGTGTCCTTACCAGCAGTTTTGTCATAATTTCAGGTTGGGGTTGGTAATCTTGGAAAAGCTAGCAAGAGCAGTCAACTCAAAACCTCACACCCCCTCCCATCGACCTCTTGTCAAAGTTATGCTCCCATAACACATACACGTGCACTGACTCACAACTGCTAGAAGCCGACCGGGGGAGAGAGGACTGGGAGGAGGTCAGCTACGCTGAAATCGATTACATCAAGTCTGAATCATGTAAGAAAACACCTAATCTAAACATGATGAATCTAGATAATACACATGGCTATTATTAGGGCTGGGCGAAATGACCTTAAATCAATATCACGATTATTTCAAACTTTTACCTCAATCACGATTAATGAATGATTATTTTACATGTTGGACTCTTTTTATATTGTGTTTGAATACGTGTCTCATTAACTCTAGAGCAAGTCAAATAAACACAAAGTAAACTGTCCTGTACTTGTCCTGATACAACACGGCACAAGGTAACAGTGTAAAATGATCCTAGAGGAAACACATTTGTGGAAAGTATTAACTGAATTAACCGACATGACATAACCGGCAAGATTTAAATTCTAAATGTCGACTCCGATACATTCTTGGTTAATGATAACAGTCCTGTGAGGGCCACAGACATCAGCTTTTCTTGTGACAACTTTATTATTGATGGCTATTGAAACATGAAGAGGATTTCAACAAATAAGAGAAATAGCGTTTTAGACACAACTTACCAACCCTGCCTTTAACAGTTTCTGATTATTCCAGTTATGAACTTCTTTAGAGCTTCTTATTCCTATTTTTTGATATAAGCCTGTTGGCTGCTACAGGTATGTACGCTTTAAAAAAAAAATATATATCACTTTTAGAATAACAGCAACAAGATAATATGTTTGAGGATGCGTCTTGTGGAGGAAAGGGAGAGTGGAATTTGGTGTTGGTAGAAAGAAGCTAGGTTTAGGAGCAAGGAAGAGCAAGAGACGAGAAGAATCATCCACCTCAGTGTCATAACATTACACAAACTAACATATGACTACATGACAGCACAGATTTCTTCAGTTAGCTAAACCCCTGAAGAAGTGATATATAAATGATCATTCACGCCTCAATTGTAGCTCAGCAGTGAACTGAAGTGTAAACACACACACAGGACTGCATTGGCAGTGCTGCGGTTAATAGTTCCCACCTCGGTTGGCTACAGATCCTCTGTGAAGCTGTCATTACTCTCGACTGATACAAACACTTGCCAACATGGACGACGTGAGGAAAACACTGGAAGAGACTCACAGAGTCGGGCAGAGCAACAAACAACACATCACTGATTGACTGCAGCAGGAGATCAGGCTTGGGGAACACAGCGCACTGTCTTCATCAGGGCATTAAGGCTCCTACCAGAACAGAGGACTTCAAACACCAACAGAGCTGCACAGATCAGCACTGACCAGACTGAAACCTTCGCTTATCCCTGCAAATCAAATCAAATTGGATTTGTATAGCCCATATTCACAAATCACAATTTAATTGACTTCATGGTCTTCACCCCAAAAATAACAATACATCTGACCAGTATACTGTTGCATCTGCTGGATGTGTTTTGTCTTGTTTCATTTACAGTAAGTACACAAAGCCGGGATGTATAGACAAAGATATAAAGGAAGTGGAGTGACCAAAAGAAATCCTGTGCCCGCCCCCTGATTTGGATCAGCACCAAAACTGAAAGGGTTCCTCCCTGACCCACACCACATCTTTCCACCAAGTTTTGTGGAGATGTAGTAGTTCTTGCTTACAGACAAAGCAACCAACAAACGAAGAGGATGAAATAATATCCTCCTGCAGAGGTGAAAAAGCTCCAATGATCTCCTAAAGTAGTTGACCACTGCAGTTCAGCAAATGATAATCAAACAGAGAAAGTAGCACATTTGCTGGGGACTATTTTCAGGGGCGGATTCATCCACATTTGATTCTTAAGTGACTATTATGGAAAGCAGGATGGTTAATCAAATTATTCCAAATATTAATAATAATAATACTGTATAATAATGAAGGAACATGTCCCCCAGTGCAAAAGTGTTGTTCATTGATGTGTCTTTAATATTTCTTGGAAACAATGCATCTCTATGGCTCAGAAGAACATGATACAGCAGTATGAATGAAAAATAAAAATAAACAATTGTTGCTCTGGGTATTTTCATTAGATTTGTAGAAAAAATTAGGAAGAAGAACTTCACCAAACTTATACTTTCAATGGCCACTGGTGTATAGTGAAGTAATTTCACAAAGCAGTACAGACATTTTGAGCTCTTCTTACACATTGGGCCACACAGCGCCTGCAGCAGCAGATGAAAACGAGGCTTCAGGGTCAGCGACAGAAGAATCAACAGACAACAGGAAAGATAAAAGCAGCAGAAGAGGTGCAGGGCATCCCAGCCTGAGCAAACCTGGGTTCATTTCCAGTCCTTTCAGGCGTTCCTGTTAATGGCCCCGGCAAATGAAAAGCCTAACACTCTCCACCCTGCCATTATTGTTGGAGTACATTTCGGGATGGGAAGTTTCTGAATGTGACACATGGCCCCACAAAAGACCACGGCTCCCTGAAGAATGCCGGCGCTGTTTTCCACGTCTGCGACGCCTGCGGCCTTGTGCCCGAGACGAGCATTAGTGATCGCTTTTTTATTAACGCTGCCATTTTGTTTTTGTGTGGATGCAGAGAAGCCTGCAAGGACTCTCAGACGTTTGTGTTTCGCCATCCCCCTCCTAACTCCTTTCTTTTGTCGCTTTTGTCCAAACAAGAAAAAAAGACAGCAAATGTGAAATCTCCACAATCAACTTCCAATCAACGCTCTTCTCTTTTTCTTCTTTTCTTCTGACTCTCCCACTTCTCTGTGTCTGGCTGCCCTTTGGCTCTTGTGGCCTGCTTTCCCAATTCCGATGTAGGTCATTTTACATTCGTTACCTCCAAAACACGGGATTGTCCTTAATGTAATTTAGAGAAAAGACAGGGAGCGAAGGAGGCGACTCTTAAGAAAACGAGACAAAGAGATATAGATTAGTGCTGATAATAAGAGGAGGGGGGAGGAGGGGAGTATTGATTGGGGGACAGACGGTGGAGGGGTGATGTTGATCCGTGTCAAGTCCAACTTTCAGCTATTATCTCCTGGGTGTGTGTTAAAGGAAAAGGGGGGGGGGTGTGTTTGTGTGAATGACTTTGTGTGACAGAAAATATGGACGGATGTCACCGCTCCTGGCACAGATGGTGTGATTGTGTGTCAGACTGACTCCAGGTTTCTTCACTTTGTGTTTGAAGAAAAGTTTCTCATCAGTGTGACGTTCACATGGAACATGCAACGTATGCCAATACAATCAAACCTGGTTTATCTGAAACTAAGATTATTCCAACTAATCTGTGTGCAGTTGTATGATGGGTAATTTTTTAGACTGTGGAATTAAAATGAGAGAGCTTTCTTTTTTTTCAACTGTCCCTCTTTAGTACGACACTGAAGTACAAAGTAAGTACGCTAATTATTTTCTTCTACAACTTGGTATCATACTTACAACATGTAATGCTTGTATATGTGTGTGTGTGTGTGTGTGTGTGTGTGTTGAGGTGGGAGGGTGAGAGTGGTTTTCTGCACTCGATCTTTCCATATCCATCTTGTCTGGGATCCATTGGTATCGTCACAGCAACAGTCACATCCATGTGACACACTACTGTGAGAGGTGGTGGCGGGCGCTGATGGCAGATTATTGATGCAGACGAAGAGGAGGAGAAGGAGGAGGAGGGCAGAGCGCGTTTCAGTTTCAGGTGAACTGGGCAGAGAGATGTGACTTGATCTGCCCGTCAGAGCATGGCGGTGACGAGGCGAGCAGAGATGAAGATGTGGAGAGACAAGCCCATCAGCCTCCGTCTGGCTGAGCCAGGCTTACTGCACCGTAGAGCTCAAACATGAGAAAACACGAGTGAAGTGGGTAAAAGTTTAAGAGAAGCACATGAACACATGACCAGCTGTTGTGCTGTGTTTGAGGGCGCCACTGAGTCCCCGGAAGGTTAAGACGAAAGGACAGTTTGGACGTCTCCCCTCAGGATCATCCTCGATATCAAACTGACCACCTGCTTCTTCAAAAACACAACTGACAGGTGTAAACATCTTCAGGAGGGAGTCTGAGGCCCCAACAGGCCCATCTGTTCATACTGAAGACGGAATTCACTGTCTGACAAAAGTGAATTTCAGTTCAAATGTCACAACCAAAACTCCCCACAGCCTCTGATGATTTCCACTTGTGTGAACTTTCTGGGTCGTTTGAACGCTGGTTCACTTGATGTGAGCTGCTGTCTGCAGTGAACAGGCACGTGGGTGACAGGAAGTGATATCTGCTGGAGTTTCTTAAGCAAACTCACACTTGTCTGTTTGTCCTTTTCTTTCTTTTCTTTGTTTGTTTCTTTTCTTTCGCTAGAACACCAGGAAAAGGTTTCAATAATCTGCATTTTTAACCGTTTTGAAAAGCACAGAGCAAGCACCCTAATCAAACAAAAGGACATAAATCATGACAGGTCCTGACGTGTTTTGCCAAGGGGGTCATGTTTTTGCCTTGGTTTGTTATTTAAGAGGAATTATGGACTAACCACTGGATGGATTAACGCAACACTTGGTGCAAGCATGTGCTATGGATGGGTCAAGGAAGAAAGAAAACAGTTTGGTGTAGATCCACATCACATCTTTATAATTGTGAGGTAGGGCTTTTCTCAGAGAAACATCAATGTTGATGAAAACAATCAAACATGTTTAGATAGATAGACAGATAGATAGATAGATAGGTTACTTTATTCATCCCCAAAGGGAAATTAGGTTAGAGGACTGATATTTATGTGTAAGCAATATTGTTAGCAATAGATCTAGTGAATTGAAATGTGGCTTCATAAAGGGACTGTTATTGCAGGTATGCATTATACTGTGCAATTCTAGTGGAAATTTAATTACAGACAAATTACTAAGTCATTCTTGGAAATCTCTTTTTGACACCATGTGTTTCCCAAACCTGGAAATCAGATCAATAAGTGAGCTAATATTTTNAAACCGGCCAATAACATCTATTTATCTAAAATGGGGCAGGTTTGACATGACAGCTGATTTCGGACATGCAGTTCCTCCATATTTTCTCCGGAGTAGGTGCAAGTGTGAACGGAAATGTCCAAGTGAGACGCCTCCTAGTATAATGTCCATAGAAATTCCCGGTGTAAAATCAGTGTCACACACACATGTAGACAACATCTACAGTGGTTTCAGGAGAGTTTGTAGTGATAAGCCTGACAACGGTGCATGGGTGCTGCAAATAAAATCACATGATCTACACAGCAGAGGTACTTCCTGCCTCTGTCTGTTGCACCTAGTTGCTCCACCCCTCGCCTGAACAATGTGGAGGATTTGTTGCGGTAGTGAACTTGTCTGTGCAGAGAACCTCTACTTTACCTGGAGACCATGTCTGAAAATGGCAGACATTGCAGGAAATCCAAAAAAGAGGAGATCCCTGATAAAAGAGGCTGCAAATTTACAGAGCAGGATCCATTCAGCATGGTCACAACAATAACCATCTGCAGCTGCCCACTGTGTGTGAGCCTCTGAGATGATTTTCACAGCTTCATTATTTGATCGTTCAAGCAGGTCAATAAAATCTGCCGCTGCCCACTCACTCTTTATGCTCCGAGACCTATCCAGAGACAAAGCTGAAAACAGCCTTAAACCTCTGTCACACAAAGGAGAGATGTTGAGTCTCTGCTCTCATTGTCTCACCTGTTCGCTCCCAGATGTCAACACTCTAACACAAAGTATGATTTTATTAATGTTAAATAACCCATCTCTGTGTGTGTGTGTGTATGTACAAATGTAGCTGTTCATGTTATCTAACCTCTGCCTTTCATTTTTATGAGCAGAGACAAAGACACAGGTTCACAAACACAATCGTTATGAAAGCAAGAACAATTTTCTGTCAAATCTTTGATACACACACACACACACAGAGCGGCACTTAGCACCCAGTTAAGAGCTATTTCAGGGACACCATCCATTTCTACCTGCAAACAGCGTGTCAGCACCTCTTGCCATTAACGCTTCAATATCTTCCATTAAATGCTAATGAGCGGCGGGAGGAACGGGCCCGTCACACCAAATTATACAAATGCTTTAACAATCAGCTCTAACTATGAAGCTCTTCATGTCACAATGCTCGACCAGAAGAGGCGGCTGACGAAACCCCGACACCCACACGGATGACAATTGATACGAACGAATGGTGCAATAAAAGCAACAAGACGTTTGTGTGTGTAGACAAAATATCACATAAGTCTGGCAGAAAGCAAAGACAAATAAAACAGGGAGAGGAACCAGTGAAATAGAGGGAAAAAAAGACCAGAAAAGCAAGAATTATGGGTAAAAAAACTTAAAGGCAGCCTGTAAATTTTTTGACCACTATTAGCAATGTAGAGCAATGTGAATGTTTTATGAAGGAGAACATATATTTAGCCCGTTTGTCGGACCTTGAGGAAACACGCAATGAGTGTTTTGCGGAATTAAGAGAGAGGAGAAATAAAAAAAGGAGGGAATTAATGGGAAATAACGCTGTAAAAGAAAATGTGACTGAAAGTAAAAAAAGAATGAACAGAAGCCGCTATAACAAAAATAGAAAGGTAGACAGGGGAAAGGTATGAAGAATGATTAAAGACAGCCACAGGAGACAGAAAGAAAGGAAACTTAAATGTATGGGGAAGCAGCACTGACTAAACTGAGAAAATGAAAACAGAAAAAAGGAGGAATGAATAACAGGAAAAGAGGAAGGTATATTATTATTTAGTCTTAATCTGTCTAGCATTCTGCGGACAAATCCAAAACCTACAATAAATTCAGTCTGAGATCCTGCTGTCAGTCAGCCTCTTAGTCTGTCTAGTGAAGGCCAGTTCAACTTCTTTCTAGTTGTCATTATTGTAAAAGCAAGATTGAAAAGATATGAACGAATAAGGGAGAGTTGGCAGAAGAGAAAGAAAAGATGAAAAGTGCAGATGGATTAGAGTAGAAGGTAAAAAGAAGAATGAAAAGAACAGGTGACAATGAAAGACGTTCAGTAAGAAAGAAGTATTAATGGCAAAAGGGATGAAAAGAAAGAGTTTAAAATAAATATCACAATCATTAAATGTGAGACATTTTTGGAAGATTTAGTGTCAAGACTTTATCGACAAATTCAAGTTTTAAACTGAAGTACACCAGTGGCCATGACTGCAGACACCTCCCTTGCCAACTTGTGTATAAGACTGTGATGATGGAAAGGAAGGATTTCACCATTTGAGTGCTTTTTCTAAGAAATCTGTCCAGATCCTGCAGAGCAGATTACAAAATGAAAAATAATCATTAAATGCCTCTGTTTAAAATACGATTGAAATAAAGGTTAGAATCTACAAAACTTGAATTAGACAAAGAGACATTTGAAAATGAAAAGCCACAACCCTCTGCTTCTTGAAATCTTTGTTTAAATTTCCATTATTATCCTCATTGCATCATGTTCTGAGTGACATGCTGAGGACAGGCTGAAGACGAGCTGCTGACATGCTGACGTAATGCTGACGACAAGCTGATGTCATGATGACAGAAAGCTGCATATTTTTCGTGGCTAAAATGTGACATTTACAAGATGAGAGGCTGAGCACCACACTGATACACAGAAGAACCTCACACAAGAATTTAACTTAAAGCACCTCAACATCAGTGGATGTTCCTTCAACCCCAAAACGCACCTCTACTCTCTGCACCTTTATGAAATACACCATCAGACTTAAATACCTTCACATTTATTGCACAGTCAGTTAGGATATTTGACAAACAAAGCTAGTGAGGATCAGAACCTACTGATGGGAGACGCTGGCTTCTGAATTCCTCCCCTGCAGTTGGTGGTTTTGTTCTGCAGCGGTGGGACTGGTTTGTAGGACTGTCCAGTGGCCCGGTACATGGCCTGGACCCACAGCACCCGGTCCGGCTCATCATCACAGGCAAACATCACCAGGTCGCCCTCCTTCACTGCATTAAAAAACACCCGACCCCCCTGCAGACCTGACAGAGAAGAGGAGGAGGAAATCGGTATGAGTGTTTTCTCTCCACAGTTGCCAAAGTGTTTGCTCATTGTGGGAACTGTTGGATTCCTCTATCATTTTGAAGGTCTCCACCAAAAATGCCTTGTGATGATGTATGTTATGATTTGGTGCTATTCAGATACAATTGAATTGAATCAGTCATATGTAATGTGCCAGAGACCCTTACCATGGTAATATATATAAGAAGACAGTGGCCTGTGTGGGGATATGTTGTTACTAGATGCTGTGCCTAAACCTCATGGTGAGATCTTGACCCTGGAAACCATCTCAAAGGCATTTTTCTGAACTAAACATACATCACCAACAAAGCACCACAGCAATGTGAATTCTTCAAGTCATTTACATTCTTGCATCTAAATTACAGGTAGTTACAGCAACATATGATATTGTCATCATGCTCAGTGAACAAAGAGCATGAGGTGAAAATGAAACTTCTGGGTTCTGTTCCAGAAATAAGAAAAAATCATATTCAAAATCAAAACCCCATTCACATTTGTATTAATTCAAATAACTTCCTAATCCAGCCTTCAAACAGAGCAGGTCTCAGCAGTGCCAGCAAACAGTTTGACACGTTAACAGGGGTTGAAATATATAGAGGAGCCAAATAAATATCAGTTTGCAACACCAATGTCAACTCTCTGCTATTATGCAAATATAACTTATAGGTTGCATATAAAAGTACTCTATTAACTGCAAGGATATTAATTTATACTCAGTGATATTTATATTTTTGTAAGTCTGGTTGTTCTGTTGTTTAGGAGCATGTTGTGTCACAAGAGAAGCTGTGCCATGGACCTGGTCAACCCCCCCAGCTGATGACATGTTAGCGGGGAGCATATCATGTGATTAACTTCATATGTTTGGATGGGAGGCGGCTTAAAACTAATTCTAAATACCCTTTTCTACAAGTCAAAAAACTCCCAGGCAAACTCCTCTACTGTTAATAGAAAAGGATTCAATCTCTGTTTTGTAGCAGGTTTACCCGCATTTAAAGAAATGTGTATACCTGCTAATGATGATGTAACAGAGGTAGAATATCTGTGTTACTCAACATTTCTTCTTTCAGCAACCTGTACTGGTATTGTCCCACAAAAGTCAGCAAAGCTCTTCTTGTCAGTCCAACAGTCTGCCGTTGTGAGGAAGTCTGGACATTTGAATTCAGATACAGAGGCCTGAGAGTGATGTGTGATGATATGGCTGAGGTGTCTATACCTGGCTGAGGGTCACAGTAATCCACCGTGTAGCCCTCCAGCTGCATCAGCTCCTGAGGTTCAGCCTTCTTCTCTCGGTAGCTGCACATGGCGAATGTGTACTGACTCACCTGCACGACAAAGACACAAAGTAACTCACAGGACGCAGCAGAAGCTGATAGAGTTCTCATGATGTTAATTAAATGTATCAACTCTGAAACTCTTCAGTTGTAAAGGTGGTGAACTTATCAGCAAACAGGCTCTTAGTAACACAAACAGGGAGTCGTGCCTCTCTACTTTCAGCTGCTGAGAGAAACACATGACTCTTCAGCTGCTAAATACATCTGAATGTTCATCAGATGAGCTCCAACTGTTTCAGTCTGCTGCTTGCTGCTAGATGCATACACTGTTTTTTTGCCAAAAACCACAGTATGGCAGCGGTGAGAGTGAACACATACAGTCAGGTTGTAGTCGGGACAGATAAACAATGAGAATACAAACCAAGCCAAGACGTTCTCTGTGTTCAGCTGATAATTCTCTTTAGATTGCAACTTCTACTATATCCAGTACATTCACTGCAATGTCGAACCTCATCCAGCTGATGCTTCACTTTCTACAGAAATCTTGGTTTTCAACTCGTGGAACAGGTTAAAAATGTTCTTTAATGAACACTACATGCAAACATTTTGAAACGAGTAGTGTAGAAGAGTCTTTATGGATTTTAGAAATGTTGTCAAACACTCAATGAACCATTGACATCCTCAAACAAAATCAATAAAATATAAGTGATGCTCAATCGAACAAGATCTTTTGATGCCTCTGGGGACAACAAAATCTTTTGATGCCTTTAGAGGGTTTACATTCTGACACATAGAGGTAACCAGAGCTATGTTTTGCAGAGAAAATACATTTTCATTTTAATGTCTACCCTTGCTCTCAAAGACCCTGAGCGATCACAAAGTGCTATGAAAGTAAAAAAACCATCTGAAACGAAAAGGAGTAAAGGAGTATTTCGCAGACCAAAACTTAATTAACTTTGCCTCTGCAGGACTCTAGTGCTCACACTAGATGTTCAAACCTTTCAGCTAGAGCAAATGATGTGAGGTGATTTTCTTTAATAACCTTAAATACTTTTTAGAGGAAATTAGAGCTGAAGAAAGGGATGGTTCAGTGAGAGGACATGTTTTCTGCAAAGGCTGAGGGTTGAATCAAATGCTTTTTAAATACAAAAAAACCTCTTTAAAATGAGTTATTTCATATTTCCACTGATGCTTGATCTGTAAAAAACAATGATTAGATTAACAGTTCATTCATGTCAAGACCCATCGCATCTCATCCAATCTCACTGACTCCAGTTTCATACCTGAACAAGAACAAAATATCTTTTTTTCCAGCGTTTCCAGACTCTCTGTCCCAGAGTATACAGATACCTGAAACACAGTGAATGACACAGCATCAATCTAAAGTATTGTTTTAACCTTTGTTATGATTCAATGGGATCTAGATTAATCATTTAGTCCACAACATGTCAGGAAAATCTCTATTTATATTTTAAGGGCGAAAACTATTTTCTTTTCTAGCATTTCTGCATAAAATTTGCTTTAATCATTAACTGATAATGAAAATAGTTGTATATATAAATATACAGGGACATTAAAATATCACACAATATCACAAAAAAAGACAACAGTTTAAAATCAGAAAGCACAGTTTAAAACAAATTTCAAGCAAAATAAAAAAGATTAGAAAAAAAGAGGTAAAATGATTTGAAGGGGTAAAAAGAAATAAAAAGGATGAATCTGTATAAAAATTGTAAAATAAGTGAAGTGAAAAAGGGAAATCTACTCTTGAATGTTAAACCACTGCTGCTAAGAATCATGCTTCCAAATGGATCTTGAGGTGAGATGCTGATTGGTGACTTCAGTCATACTGGAAGCTCTGTGATACATTCTTGCCTAAATATCAGTCATTTCTTTGCTCAATACATTTATTAATTTACTAATTATTTCAATCCAATTTCGATTATTGTCTAACTTGTGCACCTGCATCATTAAACAATGGTTTCACACTCAGTCAATTAGATGAGCTTCCCCTATCATAAGATGGAAGTTAAAGCTTGAGACACACTGAGATACTGAGATACTGGGATGGGAATTTCTGTGATGAATTCCATTTAATAATTCATTCGTTGATTGTATCGATAATGAAAATAACTGTTGTTGCTGCCCTGCTATCCAAGAAGGTGATCACTTATTTACTTAATTACAATTAATCTACAACAACTAGAGGGTACAACAATAAAACAATTAAAAAACAAGGAATGTGTCTGAGGCCACAAATAAGTAATCCATCCTCCAGAGTCTGTAGTTGACGTGTTTAACTTAAATTGAGAATTTAAAAAAAATACAAGCTTATCAACATTTTAAAGTTAAGATTACTGACAAACAATTATGTTCAAGCATGTGTTTCAGGGATCAGATCCATCTGAAGTCTCCCAATATCACAATCCCAGCAGCCAGAGGGAATTTTCTTCCCTAATCAGGAAACTAACAGGAGACTGTTATAAATCCTAAGCTGAGAGAGGCCGTGACACAGATAGCAGCTCATTGAGGAAGTCTAGAGTAAAATGGAAGAATGACCAGCGTGGCCTCTCAAATCAATGGCTGCTCTCGGGCCTCCTGAAGCGTGGGATACAGGCAAGTGCAAGTGAGGAAAATCAATCGATGGCGAGACCTCTTTCTTCAGCCCTGCTGCCCGCCCTTAAAAAAAAAGGCCTCCAGTCAAGGCCGTGGCACGTCTGGTCGGAGAATCTGGGCCATTCTGCACATCCCGCACGACTCTGGGTTAACACGAGGCACCGCTCGCCGGCCACTTGTGAAAATGATTTGGCCAACCGTTCCTCCTGCAGGTTTTCAAACATCCTTTCAGCCGCACAACACCACGGCTGCAGACGCCAAAGAGTTCACTGCAGGCATTTAACAGTCGTCGCTGCAGAGATGCCGTCATTTAGCAGGATATTCACACTTACATTTTTACAGTACAATGGGAAACTGGACTAATTCTCTTGAAGGGAAAACTGTTTATCGTCATTCAAGAATTTTCTAGAAATTGGTGAGGGGAAAATATTAAATAAAAAAAAGACAGATAGCTGCTTGACAATTAAAACAGAATCACTTGTCATTTAGTTGACTGAGAAACATGTGAATTTATCTCACCGGCTGATTAAAGATTGTTTCTATGTAAAGAAAAAAAGGGGAGGGGGAAACCAGATTTCTTAAAATATATGTATCTACATAAATTATCTTTTGGAGCCCACGGTGCATGTTTCCTATTTGTGCTCTTTTTATTTTTCGGCCCATTTCTCTCTGAAAGTAAAATGCGTTCTTGCATCTGTTGGCCTCTTAATGGATTCATGTTTTTAACCTTTTCAGGTTCCTTTTCACCATTTTCTTTTTGCAGCCTGAACCCAGGAAGATAAATAAATAATACAAAGGTATCCACACATTTTCTGTTTGTGCTCTTTTTCTTAACATAAAGAAATTCCTGCATCACTCGGCCTCTTCTTTGGATGCATTTGTTTGTATTTACTTGACTGTATTTATCACAAATGCTGCATACAGACCCTGCCTGGCCTTTTAGTCTTAGTCTCACATATTGTGTCTTTAACAAGTCTGAAAACGCCAGAAAGCCTAATTCAGCACACAAAGAAGATGTGGATGTGGACCAGAGACAAGACTCACAGGGAGACTCACACTGACCCCTTGTGGAGAGTTTTTAAAACTGCATCTGATCTGTGTCCACCTTTCTTTTTTCTTTTCTGTCAGTAAGTGAGTTATCAGAGCCTGTGGCTGTCAACAGCTCGTCATAGAGACAAACACAGAAGATGTTCAACACACAGTTCTGCTCCTCTGACGTCCTAAGCCCAGTTCACTGTAACCCGACTGACTCCACCAAGATATACTAACAATTTAGTCCGATTAGAGGAAGGATTTCACATTTTACATTTTTAATCTCTGAGTGTTAAATACAAAAATATATCCAGGGTGTGTATAGCCTATAGCTTAGTTCAAAGGGAAATGCAGCATCCACAGCTTTTAATAAGTTCAAGTTAATTTCTCCTTCACACAACTGTCGTACTAATGCATGCTTTATAAAAGTGTATTGCAAATGTAGAAATTGTTTTCTTCAAACAATAGTCTTCAACTTGGTTCTACTGAAGAGAATCCTGTGTGAGAAGAAACAGGATGTAAAAACATGGAACTTTAGGGGGAAACGATAAGACAATCTGACAGTGGTGCCGTGTTGCTGGACTGTTTCCAAATTTAAACAGTATAAAATAATCTGAGACTGTTTTTAAATGTTCAAAAAGTTGTGGTCAAACTCAAATCAAACCAGCAGAGCAGAGCTCATGCCTCCTTCAAGGACAAACGGTATCCTTGTGAAACCACATTTCATTCACAAGGTTAGGATTTTTATTTGGATCTGCACCAAATTACATGTCAATCCCCTAAACATTTTGGTTTTTATCAAGATCGATGAATTATCCTCGGAGAAAAATGCAACGTTAAAGAAAGTGACAAAACAAATTCTGGATCCACCCCCTGGGTCAGATTCACCTCAAACTGTAATGGGCTCTTCCCTGAGACGTACCACATCCTGCCACCAAGTGTCATGGAACGTTTCTGCTAAATTACAATCAAACCAACGCTGATGAAGACAGAACCTTCTTGGCAGAGGTAACAACTCAGACTTCATCATTTGTCTGACAAACTCTTTTTCAGTATTTTCTGAAATTAAGTATCCGATTGTTCTTCATGACTGTGTAAAGACGTGAGGAAAAACTGCACATTTTTTATAAATGCTCTTGTGCAAATGTAAAAGTATTTGTGTTGCCTGTTCTGTGATTTAACTTCTAACACTCCATTAAAGCAATGGATAAAAACTGTATTTATAAAACCTTGTATTTAATTTATGAGTATTTTAAAATTTGAAGATTCAAATTCAGAAAAGTTTTCTTCACATCTATGAAAGAAAAGGTTCAAGGGTTGACGGAACACACGGCATTGAAATGTTAAATCCACTCAAATGTTTCCTCATCAGGGTTAAGATTTTGCTGCCATCTCCTGGTAGACACGTAGAGACACACACACACACACACACAGACACACACACACACACACACACACACACACACACACACACACACACACACACATTGGCCTCATGAAACACAACGGATAAGTGGAATAGATAATGGATGGAAGACAGGAACAACCAATAAGCAGTTACCGTCAGTTACCATCTTATTATTGTGTGATCACATCCTCACATTTAGCTCAGGGTGTTTTTTACAGAAAAGGAAGTACCTTTTCTGTAACCAGGAGGTGGAGCTGTCAGCCTGCTTATGCTTCCGACAAGTCCACAAAAAGTAACACACTATGTTCATTGATTCACTGCAACAAAACCTACTGAACCATCCTGCATATAATATTATTATTGTAATTTCTAGAGAATAGTTTTGGGAGGTAACGGAACATGTTAAGCTTTACTTCTCTAACTCACACATGAATGGACAGTAACTCAGTAACACAGAGAGGTATGGAAGCTGGTGTCCTGGAGGGTTAATCTTGTATTAGAAGTTTGTGATTCTTCTTATTTCTAATTTAACGGTAAATGTTCTTTTCACCTGACAAAGTATTTTGCATCACACACTTTCACTGCAAGTCCAAGGAAAGGACAAGATAAAATTACCTTAAATGCCTGATAGTCGCAAAAAAAAACATTGTTCTTAAACTCAATATGTTGGCACTGCATGACTCAGTGTTAGATAATGTGCAAAAAAACCAGTAAAAAGCACTGATGTTCCTTGTGTTATGAGACCATCTGCAGGTGCCGAATTCAATCTTAGAAAGACCAGCATTGACTTTGCTCTTTATTCAACTAAAAATAAACTAGTCACAAAATCATTATTTTTTTGAGGATGAAAGTTGAAGCAGTTATTTTAAAAATCATTCCTTGATGAGATCTAATTGTAACACATGAGTTCTGCAGCTACAATTTACCTATATCCTGAATGTGAGGCAGCTGCAGACTCACCCACTATGCTTCATGTTGGGGGGTTTGTCCATGCGGACAGCCAGCTTGATCTTCAGCTCTGTGTCCTGACTGTTCTTGGGGACGACCATTCGGTGGAACTCGGCCTGCTTCGGTCCGTTGGTGGTTGGGTTCAGGACCACCTGTGGGAGGGAGGGAGGAGGAAACCATCATTAATGAAATAATAAATAATCATTTCTATAGCAGTTACCTAATCAAGGTTACAAAGTGCTTGACAAAATACATGGGAATACAAAACACAGAACAAACCAAAACTAAGAAAGACAATATAAAAGAAAATATATAAATAACATCAGGTATTCAGGTATTAAAAGGTTCTTCTATTAAAATAATGAATCAATGATTTAAAAACAGGCATTGTTCTGGCAAGTCTAATGGAGCCTCGGCCCTGATGGCAAAAGCTTGGTCAACCCTAGTTACCAGCGTTGCCTTAGGAACTACCAGCAAGTGCTGTTTTAAAGATCTTAAATTACAGCTTGGAGCATGGCGAGTTAGTAATTCTGTAATATAACTGGGGGCCAGAGCTAAGTAGAGCATTGTAGTGGTCCAGGTTTGAGAAGACAAAGCGTGAATAAGCTTTTCAAGGTCAGGAAAAGACGGAGCTGATTTGATTTTGACTTAGTTTCTTTGGTGAAAGTAACAATATTTGATACGGTTATTGGCCGGCTTCAAAATGTAGTTGAAAATCAAATGTTATACAGATGTTTCTGGCTGTGGATTAAACATTAGTAGCCAGTGGAATGATAAAAGGATGTAGTTTGCCTGCAAGGTGGTCAGGGCAGCAGTAATGGACTTGTTCAAACTTACTGGCGTTCAATAACACACACACACACAATGGAGCACCAACACGGACCACATTATCAAGAAAGGGTTAGTCCATCAATGACTGCTTTTCCTGAGACATTAAAAAAAAGACAAATGTAATCTCATCCAATTCTACAGTCATCACAGAAAGTATTCTCACCCCATCCATAATAGTTTTATTATATAATATATAAAACATCAAAAACTACCATGCACAGTCAATTTTTATTTCATTTTATTTATCCATTTTAAGTAACATTGTTACTTTCAACTTATTTCTAACTGGTATAACCATGTATTATTGTATTGCTGTTGAATTAAAATCTATTGTTTACCATGTATTGTTGTATTTCTGTACCTCATGAAATGAGGGTTGTTCCTCAGTGTCTCTCCCTAGGTTTTAAATTAATTAATCAATGAATGAAACATCATCAGAGATTGCTGGCACCCCCTCTCGTCTATTAATGAATCGCTATACAACAAACGCACAATCACAAGGACACTGACCCTCCCATCCTGCTCACCACCTGTTTGAACTGTTCTCCTATCCATCAAAACCATCCCATCTCAACGGATCTGATTAGATCCTGTCCATATATTGTCTAGTGTCATTGTGTAGTGTCCCCTCTCTATGTCAATGTCTGTTATTTTTTATGTTAATATGAGCAGTTTCCAGCTGCACCAAAAAAGAATTCCACCAACTTGGTTGTAGTCGTCCTTAATAAATAATTCTGATTCTTCCTCTGGTGGTAGAGGACAGCTGCATACCACTTCCAGGAGGTGTGGGTGTGGACTGCTGGTTCTGATAATCTTATTTTCTCCTGTTTATTTAAAGAAACCACATAAAATCATTGTATTTTGGTCTCTTTGCTTTCACTTATTTATATTTTAAATTAGTTTTGTTTGCGGTGTAAACCTATGTCCACCCTGAAGCCAAACCTTATCTCATTCTTTAAAAAAAAAAGAAAACCCATTGTGAATAAAACATATAGGTTGTTAAAATTCAGCAGCATGGGGCATTTTTCATGCTGTGTCTCGGTCAACCTTAAACAGGGCAACACAGCCTTTCACCTCCACACACATGCATGTATAGACCAACTTCAAAGTGGTGGTTACACAGATCGGCAGCAGCATCAGGGCACAGCTTATTAGGAGGATATCAACCTGTCAGTGCTGTTTGTTGTCTACTATTTGTTAAACTGCTATTACCTGCTGTGAGGAACTTGTTCTCACTGTTCCAAGACAATAATTCATTATTCAGGTAGAATAAATGTAAAAGCTACACCGCCTACTCCCAAAAATTAAAAAATGCCAAAGGCAACATTCGTGTATGCCATCATCATCTGCCGACTCTCCTTTCAGAGCGGCAAGTCAAAAGTGACACTGATAGTAATTTGTTGCTGCTTTCAGACCTTCAGACATTCTGCTGAAATGATCTGGAGGAGCTTTATGTGAGAATGCACGTCAGTTGCTGTGGACATTCTACAAAACGTTTCCTGCCAGCTCTCACGTACAATGTCAGAATGAGCCCATGTAAGAACACAACAGAAAAGGGTTCCACAAAATTCCCAGCGAGCAAGTGGGTGTGTTGATTACATCTCTAACACGCGATTGAAATTAAACTGAAAAGAGAAAATGAATAAAAATAACTTAAGGAGCCATACAGGTAGAAGACATTGAAGATGTAAGACCAGATTTTTTTTTGCTGATACAAATCGCCATTGTTGATGTGCTGTCAACAAAAATATGTGATTTCCGCAGTGGAATTTAAACGTAATCTCCTGCCCCTCTGTATGCTCTAACCAGACCCCACTGCACAACTGAATGCTCTGAACATTCTCCTGTTGTTGTGAACCAATCTGATCTGGACGGGCAATCCAATCATCGAGTTTCTTATTTGTCTGGCGCATTGAAATCTTTTCTTGGACACATCCTAAGTTTTTCCATCATACTTGCACAGTTGCTGTAGCCTTCTCTGTTGCTACAGTTGCTGTCATAAAACTCATCACTACTGATTTTAAACCCCAGTATAATGCAAAATACAGACAGATTTACCTGGTACAAAAACATGTAATTTGGCTTAACTGTCCCAGACAGGCACTGACCCAGTTTTTAGCAACCACAAAAGTGTCTGGCCCCATGTCATGTACCTTAAAAATATCCCAGTAGAATAAAACATATTTTAGATTTGTGGTAAAGAGCACTGATGTAAGTAAATAACCTGAGTTTAGATATGATATGAGGAGCTAAATCTTGGATCTAGAAACCTTTCCGAAATGTTGGACAGCAGAAGTTACCAAGGTTCTTTCAGTTTGGGTTTTGCTTTGTCTTGCTTGCACTGAGGCTGAGCTCAGGATCTGTAACTCAGGTTCTCCCTCTGCTCAGATGCTTCGATGGTCAATGGAGGGAGAAGGCTGAATTTATAGGAGAAAGTAAAAATCTATTAATTTTTCCCTTCTCTCAAATTGCTAATCAGCTCACTCATTTCAATTTGAATTAAAGGCACTGTGCATAATATAGTTGAGACCTTACAATATTCTACCTAACACTTCTGTTGCAGATTTCCACCACAAAACTCATACACCAGAGTTTGTCCACAGTGTCCTTCATCTGTCTGCTTCTATTACAACACACAGCGTCTGTGACTCACTCAGACTTCTGATTACACACACTAACACTGCTCGGGTGTGTGTGTTTGTGTGCGTTGACTATTTTTGTGAGGACCAGTTACACACCTGGAGGGACGACATTTTGGAACAGTCCTCACTTTTTGACACACCTTCAAGTTGTTTGTGGACCAAGCTTTATAGGCATTTAGTTGTGGTGGTTTGGGTTGAATGGTATGGGATTTGGGTACGGAGATAGAAAGTGCAATTTTTAAATGAATGTCCTCACTGAGATAATTACGTTAGTTAGAATCTCCAATATAAGGAAGGAAGCCTGGAACTTTCTGAGGCTGTTGCTGCAGGAAGTTGTGGCTGGTTAATGGTGCTGTCACACATAATGAAAGATCCAATCGAATATTATAAAGAAAGAACGTATGAGTGAGATGTCCTACCTGAAAACCCTTCTTGCCTTGTGGGTGAAGACATTTCTTGTGGTGTCATCTGCACATACTATTTATAGTAGGTGTCACCACTGGGTGTAGTGGGATCAGTGTTTCTGAAGGTCACAGTGAGGCTTGCTCCACATTGTGAGACCTCTCACTCATAATACTCACAGAGCCAGGCTTATGTTCATAACCTCAGGTTTCCTCTATATGTATTAATACAACAGTCTGGGTGGGACATTTGGTGTCCCTTCAGGAATTGCTTTTGAGATATTTCTCTTGCCGTCAAATCAGAATCAGTCTGTGATTAAAAGGGCAGAAACCTTTACTTATTTGCAAATTCTTTGCACTATAATTTGTAAATATTCTCTTATTTTACTTTCTACTGATCACAATAAGCCATCATTAGAGCTGCGATAGGATACCATCGATAGAAACCCAACATTTGCTACCGTTTAACATGAAAACAAGCTGCTCATCAGTGATCAGAAAGGAAAATGTTCTTGTGAAGAATGTAAACACAGTTTATCGCAGAGTGAGCAGAGCCCCGGATCAACCACCATGGCAACTTCAGAGCAATTGAGGTTACATGGGGGTGGTTGGCTGTAATGATGAGTTGTTTACCTGTTTGTTAGTCCACAGCAGAACAATTCCCTCTGATGAGTAATATTTGGTAAAAGCTACAATGCCCAGTGGTTTCATGAAATTACAGAGCTTAAATCACCGAAATGAGATTTAAAGCACATGATCAGTTTGAAGCAGTGAGTGCCAGAGACAGGGTGTGGAAGTCAGATAACACTGTCAGACAGTCTCACACATTGTTGGGTTTGGTTCTCAACACCATCTGATGGAATTCGAAGAAGGCTGATGGATAAGGGATGAAATGTGCACACGAATTTAGAGTAAGTCCTGTTGTAAATGAATTGGGCATTTCTTAATATAATAAAAACAGCCAGTGGAGTATGCTGGTCTCTGATCTCCTGACAGCATTTGATTTGGAATATCTTTAAAATAAATGCAAATATTAATCTTGATCTTAATAGACCATATTCACATGGCAGCCATTTTCCATTACGTCATTACACTCATGGTATGACGCCCAAAAGCTTTTATGAACAGAATAACCTTGGACTGCTTTGATCCAGCAGTAAAAAGTACTCTCAATGCAATCAAGCTAGCAATGTAAATAAACAGTCATTGTGTCTTTTCATCTGGAACATATTTCTGTGTAGTGGTCATACAGTTTAGAGCAACAAAAAAGTTTGTTTAAAGCACTTTAGCATTGGATTGAGCATTTAGCATTAAATTACGAAACTTAATTCCATTGCATTTTACTAGGCTTATAAATGAATATATATACACAAAGGCATTAAACAATGACTGAAGAGTGGTTGAAAGCTAACATTAGCTGTTGTCTAATGGTAGCTCATGAGCTATCAAATAGGTTGTTTAACCTTGAAACATTGTCCCATGGAACACTTTGGTATCTTTTCAGTTGCCGATTGGTTAGGGACCTGTGTAATAAAACAGTTTGTCAGATTCCCTGTATATCTGACTAAGACTAACATTCCCCCCGCCACACCAAACTTAACCCATGGATATCATTCTCCAAAATATGACAGATTTTTTTCATTAAGATCCATGAATGAGAAATTAAAGAAAAAATCTAAAGCAATCAAGCAAAAACAAAAACCCTATCTCACAATGTTAATAAGTGAAAAGAAATCCCTGATTATGTGCTAAAATTGAATGGGTTCTTCCTTGGGGAAAGCTCCATCCTTCCTCCAAGTTTTGTGCAAATTATGTGGCTGGAGGAGTCGTTGAAAAACATTAGCCATTTGATTAATTTTCATTTACCAAATCTGTGTATGTGCCTTTTTCTAGAGGACCACGTTTATTGTTTGGACAGTCATTGGCCACCACTCCCTGGATCTTCTGCTAACCCTTCAAGGACACGGACTGTTTTTAAATAGTCACCCGTTTTAATTTGCCTTTGATTTCTTTTTTCATTGGTTTGTGTACATTTAAATCATCGTGCTTTGATTTGTGTTACTCATTTTGTTTTTCATTTTCCATATTAATTTTGTCAGCACCGTTATGTCTAGCCCTTTGGCCAGTTTCTAACTCTCTCTACTCCTTGACTGACAGGTGCCGTGGGCCTAAGGCAGCAACCCAATCCTTGGTAGTGGTGTTTTCCTCACAAATCCCTTTCTTTGTTGGTGTGCAGTGTCACAGGTGGTTAGTTTATGGACTCTTCCCATTTGGTTTCTCAGCCGCCACAGTGAGCCCCAGCCCTGTCCTCATTACCCTGCCTGAGTGCCGTCTCTCACCCTGTGGTATTTGATGAACCTGTAGGACCTCACTAATCCACAATTTAGCTTTATTAATTTCTTGGGGGCAACAAATGTTCATAGAAGTAAGAGGATGTAAAAGTAACAGTTTTAAGTTAGGAGCTCACAGGGAGGTCCGCGATCGTGTTCACCTTCATCGTTCAATTCAAAGTATGACGATATATCATTTTTCAGGGTATAAAAACTACATTTTATCTTTCATGTCATATAAAAGGGGAACCAAGGTCGAAGGAATTATAGTTGGTATAAAGTCTAAAATTATGTAATCAAAGCACTTTGTGTGTGTGTGTGTGTGTGTGTGTGTGTGTGTGTGTNGTGTGTGTGTGTGTGTGTGTGTGTGTGTGTGTGTGTGCGTGCGTGCACATGCACACTCACCCTGCCAAGCTCCTTGTCGTCGAGAGCCAGGACCCCGGTGCTCTCTGTGAACAGCTTTACTTTGACCGAGGGCAGCGGGTGAGTTGTGGTGAAATCCCCCTGTGTCCCCCACCTGAAAGACAAAACTTTTCTTTAACTCACAGTGACGGACTGCAGTACACATCCTCCCTGTTGGTCAACACACTCATGATGGGAATTTGTCCACAAGCCCAGTTTCGCCCGCACCAGCTGTGCTGTGCCTGATTGCAAACCAACCTTTCCTAACACTATTGCTTCACTTTACAGGCTTTTACTGTGAAGCAGCTAAACTAACCAATGTTGACAAAGATCAGAAAATGATTCGCCCACTCAACAGGACCTGATCTACATAAGAAGATATGAACATATGCACAGGTCAGCTTTAATATAACAAAAACAACCACAGTGGGTTAGTTAAAAAGTTGCTTTTCACAAGAAAAAGACACTTTCACAAAAACTCTTCAGGAGTTTTCTTTCTTTGGAACACCTAATTCATGCATGTAGTCGTGGTTTAGAAGCGGTAGTCATTTTAATTTGAGTACGCAATTTTAGGCATTTGTGCTCCAAAGTGAGGGGGCTGGTGGCGGAGGTTAGGAGCTGCAGGCTGTTTCTAAGTTTTGCCCGAACCAGGAAATCACTGAGATGCCTGTAACTGGCATTCGGTCCGGATCTGAAATAGAAAAAACATGGCCAGTCACATATAGCCTCTGTTGAGCTGAACTGACTCACACTGTTACAGGGGGCGCATGAGGGATTAAGACAGTCTCCATGGGGACACTCAAGTTTCAGCAAAGCCCAACAAACAGAAAACCTTCATGTTTGACCAAAAAAACATGCATGAGTAAGATGTATGTTTTGCTAAAAAAAAGTACATCTCAAACCTGTTACCACTTTGTATGTGCAGGCTCAAAACCACATAGGATATGTGATTTTCATTTTTAAGTGCAGGTAGCTGCTCATCTTGGAATACAAGGGTAACAAAGGTAGGAGGTCAGCCCTGTCCGTGTAATAACTTCACATGATCAGGTGTTGGTCACAGATTGAGACGCAGCAAACAGTCTCCTCAGTGTCAGCTCTTACTGTTCATCTTACACAAACTCTAATGGAGCAAAGTGATGCCCTCTGCTCTGGATGAAGGACACAAGGCCGCTGTCAACACACACAGCCACGCTCCTGTGATAACATGCCCTAATGTCAAAACTGTCTTATTATGTGCAGAGTGTGTGTGTGTGTGTGTGTGTGTGTGTTGGTCTGTGTGTTTTATGTGTGTAAGGTGCACAGAGGACAAGTGACCCCTTCACTTGTTGAAGACGAGAAGCAAAGTCAAGATCTGAACCAAGTTTCCCCAGTTTCCAAGGCAACAGAAGGGTGCTTTTGTTTCAATTATACACACACACACACATACACACACACACACAGTTACACACACACACACACACACACACACACACGTCTATATGTCTTCACTTGTGCTGATATTTTTTTAACAAAGAATTTTATTTTCCACTCTGTTTTTAAAAAGTATCTGTCTTCCAAACTTGTTTTACAGAATATCTCTGTCCAGACAAGAAGACAAATTCTACTATGAATGGTCAAACAAGAATGCCAGGCCAGTAGGTGGCGATATAGTCTACAACAAGGCTCCGTCAAATATCGGAGAAGATCGCTGTATTGTGAAAGTTGGTGATGTGGTGTCGTAATTCTGAATTTAGCTGCTATCTTGGATTTAAACATTGCAGTGCTATCTAAACATAAAAACTGGTATATAGCCACCATTGTTGTTTCTGGTGCATGCTCATTACACAAAGCAACAGTGGGCATAGGTGAAATAAACTGTGATCTCAATGTTTCCTAAATGCTCCATTTTACATGTACACACAGATAAAATCTTGAAAATCTTCACTGTGGAAGGAATTTGTAAGAGGCTGAACTTTACTGATTTAAAACACTGTGTGTGAACTAATAGATGACCGAACACAAAGGAAAGGTTGTTTTGCCAAATACATGTATTAGTGTGGATAGAGCGTAAACTGTAACCTAAAGTGAACCTTAAAATGTCCTCATCTTAAAATGTAATGATTAAAATTATGGGGACTTGATTTCTGTCCTCTTCAGAAGGACAAGTTGTTTGTTGTGTCTAAAAAGAAAGATTCTCCTTCTGCATCAGTACAGCTGAGACCATGTGCATGCACACTCACAATGTCACAATGTTTGTTCAAATACATTATAGAAAAATGGGTACATGATTAAAAGTAACAATTATCCTGCTGATTGAAGTATTGTGAGTTTATCATTCAATCTGAAATGGTCAGAGGATAATTTGAAGAAATTCAGTTTCACATTACTCAGAGCAGGGCTGCATTTACTGATTTGTGTGCTGCAAGAAAACTAATGTACAATTAAAATACTGTCAAAGAACATATCATGTTCAGTGGGACCACGCAAAAAAAACATTATTTCTCTGGCTGTAGCTGCAGCATAGACATAAATCTGATGTTTTGCTCCGCTGCCTGTCTGTAAGCTCATTTAAATTTTTTTAAAGAAACAACTAGTGTTAATCTAAAAAATCTTAAACTTGGAATATTACAAATCTACTTCAATTGTAATACAAATGAAATTGTGGTATGGTCCTGAACATGAATCACAGATGCTTGACTCTCCATTTTAATTGATGGTATTATTAATGAAAGGTCATCAGTAACTAAATAGCTGTTGTGTTACAACTGCATGACTCATCAGTGCAATTGGACGACTGTGTAATCACAGCTAATCGTGTTGTCTGTGTAATTACATTAACTATGTTATCATTAAATGTATGGGTGTGTTATTGAAGATGAGGGATGTGAAAGCTATCTGGAGGCTAATCATAGGGACGGTGACAGGAGGCGCAGAGTGAAGGCAGGCCACAGCACAGCGTCGCTGCTGACCGCCGAAGTCGTTAGGTGAAGTGAGCTTGTTTAATTGGCTCTGTTTGGTGACGCTGGCAGACGGATGGCCTTCAGAAAAAGAAAGCGTGTAAAAGGGCAGCCTCATTACCACACAGACCCCGCTGTCTGCCAGGCATCCAACGGCCATGAACCGTCACCAAGAACTTTGAGAAAAGAGCGACAAGGCTGCGACACCCACCTCAACATGGAGCAATGGAACTCTGTTTCTATAGTCCGAAGCATTACAGACAAATCATATGTTGATATCATAATAATTGTAATATATTATCACTGTAGTTTTTAAGATGTGTGATGTCATTGATATATACAAATATTTAAGTGTTTTTACTTACTTTTCCTTTGATTGCAATCACTGTCCATAATTATTAACTATGGCTGCACAACAGTGATTGAAAAATTCTGCTATTACTCATGTCCTGGTATACTGTCAAGTCCAATAGAACAAAAAATAATGAAATACTACATGAATAACAGACAGAACTAAATAAAGTGTTAAATAAAACTCCCCAGGCAACCAATATTAAAGCAACAGCTAAAAATCGGTGTGTCCCATTCGATTCCCATCTGAATTTTAAAACAGAATGAATGAAATCATTAAATATGGCTACTTCCATTTACAAAATATTTCCAAAATGAAATCACTTCTATCTCTCCCTGACTTAGTAAAGCTAATACATGCCTTGCCTTAGTAACTCGTCTGCAGCTTGTGTCAGGGCCTAACTATAACTGTAACTATTAACCCATTAAATAGATACAACGTCTACAGTGGTGGAACTGTGGGGAAACAAGGTGGCACCATTTGCCTTATTTATTTAGATCAATCACGGAATTCATCTCACAAATTGATTATTAACAAGGTCAATGCAAAGTTGCAAATAGCCATAAATTCATGCTAGGCGATGCAATAGTCAGCACGAGCTAAACATATTTCTGCTTAAGTGAACACATTTGTGTGAGGCTGTCAGTCAGTAGTTTTGACATTCTCCTGACATCTCAGAGAATCAAAAACAGAGGACAGACTTGTTGTCACTATTTGTGGACACCCTCAGCTGTGCAACGTCTGCACTCTATAGAGACAGAAGAAAGAAGGAAAGGGTTTCCAGAAAAGTCAGAAAAATAGCAGGACTACAATAGATAAAATGTTAAAAGATGTATATGTTGCTTTATTGTCACCTTCACCAGTTAGTGAGACAGTTCCCCTTGTTCACCTATTCATCAGAGATGAACCAACATTTTCCAGACACTTCACCTGTAGGTTTCATAGCCAAGATGCAACATTAATAAGTCATGAAGGAAGGTCACAAAGAGGTTTTACAATGCTCAACAATACTGCCTCTTTCTTTAAAATACCCCCCACTCAGTGAATGCTGTTTTCACGAGGTAAAAATAATCTTACTGCTCACATTAAATCCCATGAAAGATGATATTTGTGACAGTATTGATTCGGACGACAATCATGGTCTAATCTGCGAGTGTGACATGATGACAGGGAGTTAGATCCTGTAGGTTGAGATAGCAGAAGAGGAACTCACTGTGGTCTGGCAGCTTCAGCTTGGTCCGTCTGCAGCTTCTCCCCTCCCTCCACCTCCATGGTGCAGTAAACGATCCGGTTCGGAGCAACAGACTTCAGACCCTGAACCTCCACGATCACAATCTGAAAATATCAGAGGTGATGGTGATTCAGATGCTTTGTCTGTGTTTCTGTGGAGAATTATCAAGCCAGAATACTATTGTCTATAAAACAAAGCAAAATTGGAATTCAAGCAGCCAGAAGTGGATGAACTTCAGTGCAACCTTAGAGCGTTTCTCTTATTCTTGGTATTGTTTATACAATAGCACTTATTTTTGTGGCACTTATATTTAAAATTCACGTGTGTTGCATTGTTTATTTTCATATTTTATCGGCACTTTACTCACCTGTGGATATTTATATATGTATATATAGTTATGTCAGATGGTCTTAATTGATTCTAATAAGCTTAAATGTAATGCTCAAATTTACTTCTCAGAGTTTTATCTATTATTAACCCGATACACTTATATATTATTATTATTATCGATATCAATCGTTCAGCTTACTTTGTTTATTACCTTGGGCACTGGCCTTGAACAAACTTGTGCAGCCACACCTTTACCTGTAATGTTTTAGACCTTCTCTTATTTTTTTAAATTATTTTTCACTTTTTATGGTGGGATTAGTTTTAATGAGCGACTTTCTAAGTGACCCCTGTGACTCTCATGGGACTTGTGTGCTGCATTTTACCCTCGACCAAAACCTCAGTCAAACCTGGAATCTACAAACAAGTCCTATCCCTCAAACATCTTGTTAAAGCTGTGTCATTAATCTCCACACTCCCAACATCTAAAACTCTACATAATGCTTACAAAGATTTCCATACAAGTACACGACAACACACACACACAGACCTCCAGAGTGAAGGACAGCACAACGTCAGATTTGGAGAGAATGTCTCCCTCGTCTCCGATGTCCAGGAAGGAGTTGTTCAGAGTGGAGCGTTTGAGCTTCTGTTTGAAGTCTGGTCCTCCTTTAGACACTGGCAGACTCTCCAGATTTGCCATCAGCAGGTTGACTGAAGAACGCAGCTCCTCCACGTACAGAGCCTCCATGTCAGCGGAGATGAACTTTGGGTATCTCTTCTCCTGCAGGACACACATTCAGCCGCTGTTCATCATCAGCATCAAGGTTTTAATCCTGCTACAACTGAGTTCACCACCATGAAGCTGTCAATCACTAAAACAGACATCTCAGTGTTTCACTGATATCTCTCTTCACACTTTTTGATTCCTGAAGAGGAATTTAAATATTGTAATTTTCTTCGTGTGGAGAGAAGAAATGTAAATTGGAGTTTGTGAGTTGTTGGATATATTCAGCACCTCTGCACATACAATACAGGTGTCTACACACTTCATTTGCTAAAACATTCAAGCGATTCAATGACGTGAAATAAATGAAGGATGACATAAACACACATAAAAGTAATAGTACTATAATAAAAAAGTGTGTTTCTCACCCTGGCAATCTTCTCAGCCAGTTGTAGCCTGCCGTCCAGCTCTCGACGGATTTGAGCTGCCTGCTCATCTACATTGTCCAGCTGACATAAAAACAATCAACAGAAGGAAGAAATAGGAGCGTTAATCAATCAGTAGGATAAATAAACCAATAAACAGTTGAGATAGAAGTAGACTGTGCACTGATTAAGTGATCAGCAGCTGAGGTGGGAACAGGTGACAGTAAATCAGAAGTGAGTGTCTGGGGTAAGTGGTTCAACCACTTCACTGGGACGAGGACAGAAGAGCATCTCCACCAGACAGAGACGAGAATTCAATGGTGTTTGTGTACTTAGAGCTGCAGGGGCTTCATCTGCAGTTCCTCTTATGTCCACCACATACTGCATGCTGATGTGACATTTAGCAATTGCATTACAGTTACCTTAATGTTAATAACCAGTGTGAATAAACAGAATCTGTATGTGGCAGACAAGATTCTCAGGTGAAATCCATCTGGTTTCTGTCCAATAGTTTGTCCAATCACATTTGAGCGGAGCTTGGTTGCACACAGGTAAACATGTGGGGAGCAAGAGAGGTGGAACACACTGACTGATATGTGTCGACTATCTGCTTTTTAATGAATCAACATACACATGTAGATAACTATTAGAGGTTAAACATGTTGTATGGACCTAAAACAAGTACCAAAAATATCACTGTTTGTGTTTTTAGCGGAGAAACTTTTAACTTGGTTGTAAATACAGAGGCATTACTGAATGTTCAAATGTTTTGTTTCATTGTGTTGTCTTTCGTCGAAGGTTTTCGCTGGACCTTGTTTTGTAGCAGGAGATAATCACAAAAATAAGAAAAGTGAAAAGTGTCTCCTGCATTTCTGCTTCAGTAATTAGGGACTGAAATGGTGCCATTCGAGAGCTTCATGCTGAGCAGCAGATCATCCGATCAGTCTTCTGTTAAACTTAATGTCAGCAAGACTCAAAGGGGAGATGAAAGAAGGGGGGAAATTAAATGAAGTCTGCTTAGTGGGCAAAAAACGGGGTCTCATTTCACAGATCTGCGATGAGCGGAGGCGTCTAAAATGACAATCGATGATTAAACAGCTACGATATAAACTGCCCTGAAGTCAGAGACGAGTGGGAAATCCAGCTGATAGGAGAGGGAAAAGATAAGCTGTTTAATTTGTGCCAGTTTCAAAATGGATCCCAGAGAATCTGTAAAAAATCAGCCCTCAGCGTCTTGATTGCAAGGACCCACACTCCGTCACACTGCAGATCAAGTTCTGAGGTCAGAATCAAACACCAGCCAAAACTACATGAACTCATCAGTCAGAAACTGTAAACACATCAACAATGACAACATGTCGCAAAACGGATTGTTTCTCCCAGCAAGTTACATAATATCTACAAAAGCATATTAGAGTCATTAAAAGAGAGGAAAAAATATCACAGACCCAGGAATGGGGTAATATGGTGAGAACCTATTAGAAGTTTACAAAAAAAAACTTAAATAATCTCTTAGATCATACCGTCGTACATATTCAAGAAAACTGAGTCAAGGAAACCGCATCTCTTTTTAACCTCAAACACTTTATATATAATTTATAATGACATCACAGTTGCAGCGGCTTGCTGGGATTCAATTTCTTGAATGGCACTCAATGATGTGTACACCTCTGCTAACGCCCAACAGTCCCCAAATTACACACACTCATAAATACCAGTCTTTTAAACATGCTTGATTTTACGATCCATCAATTTTTCTCCAAGGAATACCGAAAAAATTGAGAAATCGCCTCTTGCAGTGTTAAAGAATATGAAAAGAAATTCCTGTATTTTAATTTCCTGGCCCACTGAGCTGGATCCGCACCAAACTTGAGTTATTCCCTGACCAATACTGCATCCGTCTACCAAGGCTCTTGCTTATTCATTCAGTAGTTTTTTGTGTAATCCTGCTTACAAACAAACCAGCCAACATTCATACAAACGGACAGGGGTGAAAACATAACCTTATTGTCAGAGGTAATAATCATTGAAATGCTGTCGGAACACATCAAAAATGTCAAGACATCATTTGACTTCCATATCCAGATGATTGACTGATGTTAAGACATTTTTACAGAATGAAATATGTCTCTAGTGTTTCAGATGTTTTCCCCCTTTCCTTGCATCCTTTCTTTCCAGTCTGTCTCTGCCAGTGTGTCTGTCATTGCGTGTCACTCTTTGCTTGATGGTCAATCTATACATCATTCATCATCAGCCCTGCAATATATCACCTCCGGTTCCTCTTTGCTTCAGCCAGTTATATATCACTTATCGTTTTTTTTTTTTTCTGTAATTAAGTTTCGTGGTTGCAGAGGCCAGACACAACCAAACTTGTTTGACATTACAGCTGAATTGTTGTGCAGTAAACATTTGGATTTCTACAGCTGATGTTTCAAACACTATATATTAATCTACTCAAAGCTGAACTTGAAGAATTTAAACTTCAAGTGCTCAGATTGAGGCATCTTCAGTCTACAGGCTTCTCAGATGACCATCCTGGAAATAGAAAAAAGGGCCATAAACAGAGCAATGCTAGTAGGGAAATGCTAATATCAGCATTAACATGTGACAGTGGGCCGCTCTGGCTGGTCTACTGACCAGAAGGTTGGTGGTTCCTCCAAACTGCATGGCAAATTGTGATTGGGTCAGACACTAAACCCAAAATTAATGCTTTAAGTTGTGTGAAAATTTGCCTTTTAGAGGAAAGAATAAATAAGATGATGAGATAAGATAGTCAAGAAGATTAAAAAACTCTATATAAATGTGTTATTTACAGTGGCAGCGTGCTGATGTTCAGCTACTTTTGGCATCTGCACTTAAAGTATGGCCGAGGCTGATCAGTGTCATAGGTATTTGGTGATAAACCGATAATACTGGACAGATGTTCACCTGATGATGATGATGATGATATATAAAATGTGAAGGATCATTAAAGCTACAACACTTCATCCTCAGGGAAACATGAAATGGTTAAACGATAAATGGTCTGTATTTATATAGCGATAGTCTTGATGACCACTCCAAGCGCTGTACAGTGGTTTGCTATTCACCCATTCACAAACACATTCATACAGTGCATATATGGACAGCACTTATTTTCTCTGAGGGGCATATTGGGGTTCAGTGCCCAAGGGCACTTCGGCATGCAGATGGTGAAGATTGGGATCGGACCGCCAACGTTCTTGTTATAGAACGACTGCTCTACTCCCTCAACCACAGCCGCCCATGCACGTCTGAAACAAAGTCCTGGCAGTCTATCCAAGAGTTGTTTCGACATTTAACTCAGAACCAAGTTTCAGCCTCATGGCGGCGCTAGGGTAAAAGCCAGAGGATCACAAAAGCCATTAGGATTCATCATCTGCAACGACATGCAGCAACACAGCCAGGCCACTGCTTGAATGCTGACTCAGGTGTTAATATTGTCACCCACTTTGTCCTTGTTTAAGTGAGATGTACTAAGTCAATCAATGAATTAGATTTGCTTATGAAACCCAAAGATCAGGTCGGAATTTAATCATATTAGTTAAAGGTACAGTGTGTAGAATTTAGTGACATCTAGTGATGAAGTTGCATGTTGCAGCTGAACACCCCTCACCTCACCCTCTCCTTCCGAACATGAAAAAGAACCTGTGGCAGCCTTAAGTTAAAATCTCAAAAGGTGTTTAGTTTATCCAGTCTGTATTTTAATATAAAGGACATTTATAGGGTAAAGAACACTACAATTCATACAATTTAGATGAAACAAACTTGTGAAAACATCATGAGGATTATTCTACATTAAAAGTTTGCCAGTAGTTCCCTTTCACCTAAATCTTACACACTGGACCTTTAAGTACCAGAGAGGGAGGGATGACAAT